ATCGGTAAAAACCAACACCAGGATAATGACACCTACTGTTAGTTTGAATATGTCCTCTACAACACCATCTGCGGCCTTTGCACGCCACTGCATAGTCAATTCCTTAGGGAATTCGACCACTCTTAATGTTGAGTTCTTTAAACACACCATCACGCCTGGTATGAACACGCCTCTATCGACTCCCACAGCAACCCCTAGTAGGCTTAAGCATGTGTCTAAGTCAAAGGGGAATCCAATTGCTGTCTCAGCTACTCGAAACCCTATAAATCTAGCACCATTATAAAATATTTTCCTCCACAATCGGCTAACAGTGCCTCTTATATCCCGACTTAAAACGTAACGTGCTCCCAACTGTCCCCCAGACCTCATATTGAGGCAGTTAGGCCGAATATGTCGACTTTCCCGCCGTTTAAGAGAACTTTTGCTCCAATGGAAGCAGTGCGTCCCCCACCCCCTAACTTGTTTCGTCCACGGCCGTTTTACTAAGGTATTCCTCATGCTAGTGTCCATACTGGATCAGTTAACTCATCCGATCCTCAGTTTTGTTCCAGCGAGAATGTGTTGCAGTATCTGGCCCGCGGATTTCCAGCCGAAAATAAGTTTGCTATCAGTGGTTACCAGTTTACCTGCCCGTCATTCTCTCCCCCAAATCCTACCCCTTTTTATCCACGTCAGAATTCTTTTATGCCACATAATTTTTTGCAGAACCGGATGGTTACATCCGGACCGTTTGCTCCGTGGACAAACCAGCACTGGACGATGCAGCCCACCTCCCTCAAAAACAAACAGCCTTTCCCTTCAAACTTTTTGTTTTAAATGCCAGATCCTTGCTTAATAAGATGCCTTTGCTTCGGACTCTGGTGTTCCTCCATTTTGCGGATATTGTTTTAGTAACTAAAACATGGGCATCAGCCTCCGTAGCTGACACTGAACTCTCGCTTCTAGGCTATAATTGCATTCGAAATGATCGCCAAGACAGTCGTGGTGGGGGCAGTTGCGTGTATGTTAAGCAAATACTAAATTTTTTGCCGCTTCAACTCCCGAATTTTTCCGCAGTAGAAGGCAGCTGCTGGCTCCAAGTTGCTCTAAAAAATAAGTTATCCTTACTCGTTGGCTGCGTCTATCGCCCTCCCAACGCAATGAAAATTTTGATCGTTTACTGTCAGAGGCATTTCATGGTGCGGCCGACTTAAACTTAAAGAATCAATTGGTTGCGGATGACTTTAATCTCCCCGAAGTCCGCTGGTCTCCGCCTTCACGCCCCAGAAAGTTCGAAGAATTTCTTGAGGCTGTGGATGTTGGGATGTGGAATCAGGTTGTCGATTTTCCCACCCGAGGATCAAGAATACTTGACCTGATTTTTGTGGAGGCTGCATGTTATTGTCTTTTCATCTCTTGGCCCATTCGGGGGCTCAGACCCTGACACAGATGTTTCGACGTTGGAATTCGAGGCTAGCAAAACGTTGTCCCCAAAGTATGACTTTTTCCACGATTTCCGATCTACTCGCTCAACTGAATTATTAACACACCTTAATTCGTACGACTGGACTGATTTCTTCCTTAGTTCGGATGTAAATGTTTGCACTGAAAATCTGTACGAAATTTTGGATCCGCTTATTTCTTGTTGTTGGAGATGGGATTTGCCTACCCTTACCGTTTCGTCGCAGATTGCGCAGACTTCATCGTCGATTCCATCTTAGAACGACGTTTCTGTCCTGCCCTTGATCTGTGATATTTTTGAGCGGGTTAAGAGATTGTCTGATGAATAACAATCAGCCGAAGAGGTCCAGTTTACCGAAAACCATTCGTCAAATGTCTCGAAACTTTTGTCTAGATAAATACGAGGTCACCGAAAAACGCAGCATCCCAACTTCCGTGACGCTCTCAGAAATCCCATAGTTGATGCCCAGTTAACCGCTGTAAGCTTCAAAGATTTCCTTTACAAAACGTTCATTGAAAACTTGCCCTCTCCACTTCCGACCATCCAGGCACTGACTGGGGCAGTCCTAGAAACTATAACTATCACTCTGTGGAATGTGACAGTTGCGATTCGTCGTTTTCGTCAATATCATAGCCCAGGACCTGATGGTGTTCCAGTTAGCATTCTAAAAGCGGATGAAAATACAACTCTCCCATCCCTGTGATGCAAGATATTTAATCTCACACTTGAAAGTGAAACCTATCCTACTTTGTGGAAGGAATCACACATTCTGCACATTAACATGCATGGCCAATCTACGTCATTTGATGACTTTAGGCCAATAAACACCCTCCCGGCAGTTTCGAAGATTTTAGAGACACTGATCAACGATAATATCATGTGTCACTTAACAGAGAATAACCTACTGAGTGCTGCTCAGCATTTATTCCTCAAAGCTCGGTCTTGTGAAACCTGTCAACTCTCTTTCTTTAACTATGTTCTCCAATCTAGAGACAATGGTTTTGCACTTTACACAGTCTATTCCGATTTCACTAAGGCTTTTGATCGTGTGGACCATTCTCTCTTCCTCTTGAAACTGTCCTCTTTCGGAATCGGCGGCAGACTTCTGCATTTTATATCCTCTTACCTCGGCGCTCTAAAATTTCCAATGCTATCTCCAATCCCACATGTTTGAAGAGTGGAGTCATTCAGGGTAGTGTACTCGGCCCACTTTTATTTTGCCTTTTCGTTAATGATGTACCCGATGTATTTCAGAATGGTAAGCCTTTCATGTATGCCGATGATCTTAAAGTTGTATATCGATATAAGCCGGCAAATCGTGACATAGTTCTTGAGGTCCTAAAGATCGACCTACAGGCTGTCGCCCAGTGGTGCTGCACATGGCGCCTTTCTCTTTCTTGGCATAAGTGCTCAGTCATGGTGGTTGGCGACGACCGCCAACCTCAACTAAGTATTGGTGGTCACGCCATAAATGTGCCTGGGGTTATTAAGGAACTGGGCGTATCATACTCCAAGAGTCTCAATCTCTCGGAGCACTGTGCCTTGATAGTCTCCAAAGCACGTAGAACGAACGAATTTATCCCCTGAAACTTTAAAACCAGCGACAGTAGAATGCGCCTTTAGAACATGTACATTAGACCTGGCCTGGAATACCGTTCGTTCTTATTTATCCTCATTCATGCTGCTGAGCGGATGAAAATAGTATCCGTTCAACACTTTTTACCAAGAGAGTTTTAACCCCGGAACACCGATATTTGTCGTACGAAGAACGTTGCCCGCTTACAGGCCTTGATCCTTAATGGTTCCGTAGATCACAAAAGGGAGTATTTTTTGCTATTCAAGCTTTTATATAATCGTATCTTTAACCCACTCACCTCTTTAAGACATCATATCCGCCCACGACGTAACAGTCACTGTGAGGTCTTTTTATTTCTGCCCCTGGCACGTACTGTTAAATTTCGTCGGTTCTTTTCTGTAAATGCAATTGATATTTGGAATAAATTACGCATGAGTGTGAAAACTCTGCAAAATTATCCTTTATTTAAGAGAACTGTTACTCCCTTTTTGCATTCAGAAAAGCTCCCACAAATTTTGAGTGCTGAATCCACTGATCGACTGTACCGTAGCGATGGCGTTTGTGGTCTCTGACCCCTTTGGCCGGTCTCAACAGTGACAATTTCTCTGGCCAACAGCGACAGCTGTTTTTAGGCGCCTCTATTTTGACTATTCCCAACCACATGGAACGAATTAACGACTGATTATATTTGATACACTGATTTCCCTCCTTTTCTTGTCTGCCGGCATTTCATGGTCAATAGGTTTTTTCATCTGAACCCTCCAACCTATAAATAACCACCATAAACTTTATTTTTTATCCCCTTTTTGACAGGAGTTTTTTTCACCGCTGGCCGGATTTGTGTTTAACGCTTCCTTGACAATGCCTGTACACAAGCATTAAATATTATTATTAGTATTACGTGGGTTTTCAGAAATTTCCTCGTGTCCGACTACATTCTGAGGGCGGAGGGACTAAGTCCAGCAAGTCGAACATCTAGCCATTTCTAACTTTTGCTGCTCTCCCACGATCTTTTTCAGATTGTTTTCGAATTCTTCTCAATCAGGGTGCCACTCCCACATCTAATTTTCTAAATATAAACAAAGTGAGGTCCCAAACTTTTCTGATAATTCCTCCCTAAACCGACGAAAGGCAATTTTCTTGTTAAGGAAAACAAACCACAAGTCTGGCCTCTTGTCATAACGAAGGGTTGTTGCGATTATGTCACGATGACTCCGCGTTGCCTCAGTTAAACGACGCGTTCCAAAGGCCTGAGGTAATGAAATTTTCAATGACAGTCGACATTTGATTCCTATGTCTTAGCCCGGGTCTGCCATCGAATGTAAGTTTCAGTATCAGTTTGGAGAGACCTCCAAAAACCTAATACCGGGGATTAAACCAGGCCACCGTGTATGATCAGTCAGAATCCTTGAAGCTTGTTTACTGCGACTGTTCTAAATGGTCATCAGAACTGATAACAGGACGTGGTGTTGCCCTTCCAGTTCATATTTGCAGAAGGTTTCTAGTGATAGGAACACCGTGTTGAAAGGGAGCGACATAGTAAGCTAAACGTCATTTGGACAGCGTACCGCGCACGTTTCCACACTTCCCTTTAGAAGAAACATGAATTCAAAGGGTGCTAAATAAATAAACTGAAAGTCCGCAGACACTCAGAGTTGCGTGCGTACAACCGTGTGCGCGTCTCCGCTCGCGCAAGCTTGCTCGAAAGCACGCATGAGTTACAGTCCGAAATGTGAAAAGGAAGTGAGTAAATGGTGATCTGCAACAAAATGTGCCTTTTCGGCTTCGAGACCTATCCATGTTATCTGACAAAGGCAATTAAATGGGATCAACAAGAAGCATGCTTCAGTAAAGCAAAATGTTGCGGGCGTGAATTCGAATGGAGGATAGCGGCGGCGAATTCTGGGATGGTGGGACTCGGAGATTAGAGGCGTTGACAGTAAGACCGGAGGGCAGCAGTGAATAGAGTATCCTTCTCAGGAGTTAATAGGAGTCATTGACATGGCGAAGGGCACCAAATGAGATGCCTGATTGGTTCGCAACCTGATTCATCCCGGGCCCCATCTGTAAACCAAGTGTGGCCGAACCCTCGGGCGTCATCTGGTCGCATCGAATATCGGCAATGTGGCGATGCGCACCCATTCCACGCATGCCAGCCTGGCTAGCTAACTTGTTCGTGCCGTATTGAAGAGTGATGATACCCTGACCCTCTTTGGACATATCGTCACAGCGGATGTCCGCAGCATGCCTGGCGCCGCCCATTACCATGCCCTAAAAATAAGCATTACCAGGTTGCTTAAGGAAACAAAGGTGTAGGGCCTGGTTTCATATTCAGTAACCGCATAAGCCAAGGTATTTTGGTATTGCCATCGTGTTTCCTGATGGCTGCAGTCATTCTATACATCTGTAGATGATACGATAAGCTGTTCATTGGATTCAGCTCCTTTCACAGACGTACGTACTCCATACATCTTAAAACGTGGTGCTTAGAATGACAATACTTTAATTATTTGTGAAAAGTAATTTTCTGGATCGCATTCGTCGTACCGATTTCATTAAGACACAACTCGCAAATCATCTTAATCTATATCATAGTTATTCCGGCGAAGAGTTGATTTTCCCTCTTCCCACCAAAATTTCAAAGGAGGAAATTTTTTAAGGGTTCACAGATATCCAAGTTCCTACAGAAACACAATCTATTTAGTCGCTTCTGAATATCATTAATATGCTTGGTCAGCATTATGTACACAGTCAGTCAGCGTTACTTAATTTAACCTCGCCGTCGTTCGGCTAAAATGTCGCTCTACATTCCCTGGAGGATATATCAGTGATTATTGCTAGCAGTATGACGAATGGCCACCTCTCTTCCGACAAAAATTATGTCATGGTTTGAGGCACTTGCCAATGAGGTTTCCATATGTTTTTTCACGTCCTTTCACATCAGATTTCTTACTGGGATATTTTGGAAGTCTGCAAACACTTGGATATTTTGCAAGAGGGGTTGTCGGCATCGGCGACAGCTCACAGGTGATATGGTTTCTCTGAAAAGTCATGGACGAGACCGCAAAGAGCAGTTTTGTGCAATGATCAGAAATCCAAAATCTTCTGCCAAACTGCTCCCAGAAATTAGGTGACACACATAAAGTTGCTGTAATCTTCTTCGAGAACTTTGGGATAGATGCACAATCTATGTCGTCATCATGAACGCTTATTGAACCTTCGACCCTCAGCCACATTGTCGACTACCGCATACGCTTAAAATGACGATAATCCAGGGCAAAATTCATGGATAGAAAACTCTGATCTTGCGACAGTCGACAACCAGGTCCCTCAGACTTTACTGTTAAAATCTACTTCACTTCTATAAACGTGTGCAACTGCGCATGACAGGTAATCTACGAAACAACGTTTGCGGGTGAAATAAAATTTTCGGAGGCCATCTGAAGCGTTGTCAATAAAATAGCCTGCAGACTGGCGCATATTTACAAAAGGAATGATAAAGCGGTTATGATCTATGGCCTGAGGTATGTAAAACTACCTTACGCCACCTAGGAAAGTCAACGAGATCCCTAGGAGGAAGAGCCCACTTTCTCGGGAAGATAGCTCCAGAGTTCAACATGTTGAATTGATCTCAGTTTACTGATATAAATCTCACGAATAGAATCAACTTATGGTTTGAAATTGCCAAAAAGCAAAATTTCCATATCGCACGTCATCGTCAGAACCACATTTTTCCTGGTCTTCGGAACATTTTTCAGATCGCACATGTAATATGCCATCAGGGTCTGGTGAGCATAGGGAATACGGCCTAAAAGGGACTTTAGAGGGGCCCGAAAGAAGACCTTGTTCTTTTTCGAAGATAGACAGTCCAAATCCCCTCACCTATTTCTCTGCAATAAAAGTTTGCTTTTATCACCGGGGGGGGGGGGGGTTAGCCTAACGTCGCTAATAAGGCCACCTAAAAACCCGTTCGGCTTGTCATCTCCGAATTCCGTATTAGAATAGTGTGGAATTTTTACGACCTGCACTCAACATACTTTGTAGTGTTTATTTGTCTGGTACTTTCTAGACATTGTGTCTGTGGTGTTAGTCGCTGTTACTGACTCTTTTACCGTAGATGGTCTCCGGAATAAGCTGAACATTCGATTGGCCCAGTCATTTGGCTGTCATAGGGTTTGCTCTGCACTTCGTCAGTCAATATAAAAACCGTTATTCAACCACTTCTACTATTTTTCTCCTTTTTTCTGTTCCTTTCATCGCCAGTAATTGTGCGTTGTAATTGTCAACTTGGTTTCGGCCAGTCTTGTGGTCACCTGGGCGAATCGCCTGAGATTTATTACTTGGACATTGTAAGTTACGCCGTTGTATAATGCAGCCCCATTCAGTGTCTACCAAAAATTTTTGTTTCTTATCCATGCGTCCCTCATTATTACTCGATAAATCCTTGGCAAGTTACATGAGGCAGTGTTTAGAGGCAAACTATCAAGTTGTGTTTATAAAACTATTACGTTACCTTCTGCGAAGCGCACTGGTTGGTGCCCATCTGCAGAGTGATTATCGACTGGCCTTCCTTTGTTATATCGTCACAACGGATGTCGGCCACGTGACGGACGCTCCCCATCGCCATGCCCTTTTGTGAGGCAAACTTGTTGGTGCCCATTTGGAGGCTGCAAATTCCAGCTCCTATGGGATTCAAAATAGTAGTTAATTAAGCTGTGGCAAGGAGGGCAGTAAAAGCAGCGCTATATGGGAAGTAGTGTCAAAAATAAGGGGAACTGGAAAGGCACGTTATGGTCTGTTTTTGCAATCAGTGTTGCGGATAGAATAATAGATGTACCTCAAAGGTCAGATTGTTCAGGAATGGTCCCGTTTAGAAAGAGAAGGCGAAGGAAATAAGTAAGTCAGTTTATTAAGAAGACGAGGCTTTCGCCCTTGAGCTCCCTATCCATATCGACAAACGGCAATAGTATCAACTATTACATCAGTAAATCGGGAAATCCAAAAGTTAACGGTAGTTCCGAGCAGGCACAAACTGCCGCTGCTAACACAAGCGCGATTATATGCACAGTAGTTTCTCAGGAAATAAGCGTGTAGTCTGCTCTTAAAGGTTTTAACAGTTTCGGGAAGAACCACCGAATCAGGAAGTCCGTTCCATGCCCCAATGCCCTTCATCGAGAAGGCGTTCCGTCGGATGTACGTATGGGCCAGCATCCTCAGTAGTTTAAAGAGATGACCACGCAGACGGTCAGTCCCGGCCAATTCGAAGAATTCGTCAATGTCTAGGGCACATTCGCGTCTCCTGACAATCCGGTGGGAGGCACATATTATGTGCAGATGCCCCGTGGCGGTGGAAGATCTCTATGCACAACCGGCTGGAGGAATGCTCCGGCATCTCCAAGAAATCTGATGTGAGCGCGAATGACTAAGCGTGTATATCACAAGAAATTTTCTAGATTGATTGGGTACTGGTTTGTTAACGCTTGCGGTTGCCTGTCCTCGGGACTGTGTGCGCGTAGGTTTCGTGGGGAGACCTGATAATGCGATTCCTAATTCGACAGATGTAACAAGGGCGGAAGGCTTATACAAGCTTCAGGAGATGTATCGGTTAAACGTATCCTAACTTCATTCGCGCAGGTTAAGTCCGAATGCGAGGACGTTTGACTCCAACACGCTTGGCTACCAATTACTCTGTATTCAGACCTAAACTGCCCATCTACCTGACTGGTGATAGGGCATAATCCAGAATCGGTCACTGCAATTCCTGTTGCTTGATCGATGCCATTTCCTCCTCACTTGTCCTTAATCGTCGAGAAACCACCTAAGAATTTAATAGGACCGGAGTTCCAAAGGAAAATCGAAATGCCCATTCAATTCACCGAGCATGATGGGTTGGTGAATGCTACTCAAAAGGGACAACAGCATGTGTAAACCTGGATTGTGATTTGTCTCTGGAGCGAAAGGCACACAGCAAGGGTTGCCAGGACTTGATATATCCTTTCCTGGTTCTTAAACATGTCATCTTCATGTGTGCCGAGGCATTGAAATGAGACAACAGATTAAGATTCAGCTAACCAGACGGAGACATTTCCTCCACCTTCGTGTCGGCGCAGTGGCGCATTGCCCCGAAGCTCATGCCCTTCTGGGAAGCTAGTTTGTTAGTTCCGGCCTGGAGACCGATGACACCGTGACCGGCTCGTAGCTGTTCGGCGGTCCACTGACGGGTTTGCTTCTGAGTCGGTCGTGGGCCGCACGTTGGGCCCTGGAATCCATTTCTTTGACACTGAAATGCAGTAAGGTTTTTTGATTTCCCGTTGAGCCTCTGAGTTCTTCTTACGCCCACTTACTTTAGATGAGGCACTTTATGAAACATTGACTGAAATTTCTGAGTAGGCCCTTGAGTGGGAATAAATACTACAGAAGGTAGGAATCACAATCCCGATTACTATGGGAGATATTCACAAGCTGCGTTATAGAGGAGTTTGTTATCAATTTGCAGAGAGGTTACCCAGGCATTCGTGTAAGTCTTACTTCAGAAAAATAAAAAACGACAATTTTCTTAACGGGCTTTCAGTTGTCTGATAAATTAACTTATGTGTGCCTGAAAGAATGCGTACATTTTTGTTTTCTATATCTAATATCTTAGCAACAGAACCTTATCAGTTTTGTCAATCTGAGGGGAATCTGCTAGTACGGAGCCGGAAGGCGAAGTCAATAGCTAGGTTTATAGATAAAGGCATCGTCCGCCAAAGTCCTCCGAAAGCAAATTACGGAAAGTAGTTTGCAGGCAGAACTGTTTAGATATCGTGGACTATACGGGAAACATGCCCACGCCAAAAGAATGGCAATAACTTGGTGTTTCGCTGGTCAGAAAACCCCCTGGACTGGATCATTACCTTATCTACTATCAGTTGGCCTTACCCTTGGTACCGGGGACCTTTTCTTCATTAAGTTGCGTGAGAATGACATTTTTAGGGTTATCTAACGAGTCCGAGTCTTACCTACGCTAAACAGAGCTAGTGAGTTTGCTTAACAAGTAGGCATTGTGAGCTGCAGGAGGTGTTTTTGTAGAAGAATGAGCAAAAACACAAGTTTCTGAGATAGGGGCCTTGTCACAACCTTCGAAGGAATCAAATAGAAATCATTTTGACCCTGAAGTTGCGAAATACCTAGGAATTACAGATTTCCCAGCCAGGTATTTCCGTTCAATGGCAGGGGTTTTGTGGGCTATGGGCATGAAGGTCTCGGGTTGTTCCTAGCTGGATCCAGAAGAAAACTATGTTTGATGTACAGCTAGTTTAGACTAATGACACACTGTATAGTCCTAACGTCTCAGAACAAGGTGGGGGGGGGGGACGTACCGGGCTTTAAACTGGGCGCAACCTATTATTGGTTTAAGGGTCACAGTATTTTGCCCGTCGGTGCACTAGATTTTCAGGGAAAATAATCTCCTAAATGGCCTCAGAAAGGCCTGAGTAGCCCCTCTCGAAAACATTTATAGGAGAATGCGGCATGTTTATTCCGAGCGTTCAGTTCCTCAATAGTGTCCGCAGCGATTATCTGCCGAAAGCCAGAATTGTGCCTTGTAGGCTAATCAGTATTTCAACCTTGCCTACGTGTTTATTCCTACTTGAAGCATATTTAGACGTTAGAGTTTAGGTTTCACATAGTGACAACAATGACATTATCAAAAACTTGTATACCTCCGTTCCCAGTTGCATGATGGTATTTATGACCTGCGACATGTTGCGCGACTCGTACAGGTCAACAGTCTGGAAAAGGCTCGTCTTCGGAACACCGTAGGCTTCCGCTGCGTCCAGGAAAATCTGGATGTTTTCCATCTGCCGCGAAAAAGGGATAAAAGCGTTAGGCCACAGCGAGCGTTTGGGGAGAAGAAGTTTCTGCCCTGCAGTGACAGGGATCATGCTCCCGGGAAACGATACTTTCTTGCGAGTGGAGGCAAATAGTTTCAGGAGGCAGAAAAGAAAACAGTATGGAAGCGAATATGCGAATCCCAGGTTCTTGTTGTAAAGAAGATGAAGATCCGATCTCTGGGACAGTGGGTATTGTATGAGGCTATTTGTCCATGCTATTGAGATTTAACACCGTCAGTCATCAAAGGCTTCGTCTTGGACTATTTACCTCGTTCTCAATGCACATAAATGTGTTAATCTAGGACAGACGCAATGATTGATTGTGTTGTAGCAGCCGCTCCAACCCCCCTTTTCTCCGGTTCCGTTTTGTCGGTCGATGGCCGTGACAAGTACTGACAGGCCGCTGACACACGACCACCCACACCGGCTAGAACTGGGGCCCCTCCTGTCCAGCTGCGGTGACTCCCGGCTGCCCTCACAAACTAGTATCGCCTAACGCGCGTCGAACGCTCTGGCGTGATTCCCGTGAGGCCTTGTGAGCATGCATCCCTTATTCCTCCCCTAATTTGTCCAATCACACAACCAACACTCAGCCAGTCACCCCTCCTGCTGACCCAGGCGCACTCCCGCATAAACAACACACACACCGTGACTGACGCTCTCCGTGAACGGACGCTTTTCTCTGTTGCAAGCAAATCGCCAACTTACGGCAACCTGCCCTGTGTACAGAATAAACTAGTCCTAGCAGCTACCTGACTTCTGACAGTAGACGAAACGAACTTATTGTGCGTGGTTTAAGTCGATCTCACATCCTTGACCGCCACAGTGTTGCATACAGGTCTTACAAAAGGAAGTGATGCTTATTTTTCCAGCGGAAACTGTGTAATTGCCAAATACTGCGTAACAAAACAGAAAAGCTTCCTAAATATACCGTAACGGGAAGCGCTTGCTGTCAGCAGAATGTAGAATGCCTAGTTTATACGACATCAGTGAATTTTTTGTTTGATAAAAAAAAAACAACCGCGCCTTTGAGGTATGAGAATTGGGTATTTTTCCCATTCTCACATGCATCTGCTAGGAGGCGGCTTTTTCTGTCTTAGGCAAAAAACAGCGCGAAAAACATGCGCATGCAGTTTAATCTAAAAAATTCCGTTTCGAGTAATGCAACTTTTAAGGTTGCTATGTGATACCCTCGTTTTCTGTTTTTTCTGCGTGTTATGCCACCAAAGTGCAAAATTTATTGTCGTCAGAAGGTTGGCGTTCGCCGATCAAGTTACTGGACATGCTCGTCCAGTTGCACCCTGGTGTTCAACCTCGAACCATCGCAGGCGGTCAAACAGCGAGCATTACTGATGCGGGAAGGAATGCTGACAGAGGCAGTGGGGACTGGGATGGTGATTGCTGACTTAGTAGACTACAGTAGGTGGGCTAACTCATGAAATTTCAATCAAAATTTCAAAATGCGTTCTGGTTTCGAAAAGATTAATTAAGTAGAATTGTAAAACTACTCATCATGCAGCATAATTGTGCGATGATCCAATTACCCCAGGGTATCGGGTTTCGAATGAACTTATTTTCAACTGCAGGCAAGAACTATACTCTGCAAAAAATGACTACTTACGTAGCATGTAATTTTCTCATTGATTTTCGATGCCCTTAAAAATTCAATTATATTTCATGGAAAACATGAAAACGAATATTCATTCGTTTACTAATTCGGTAGAAAATCACGTCTTCTTCCGATTTTATATTCGAAAAAAGCATAACTCGGTCTTAAAAAACGTTTCAAGTTCCCGAATAATTTTGAACCCGACCTGCTGTTACAATTGCATTCAGGGTTTCAAAACTACAAGCCGCATATTTTCCGTGTAAGGAAAACCATGCATCTCTCTACGATATTTATAGGAGACCATATGGGGTTCATAAAATTGAGCAGTGAATTTGAGCAATATTGTTAACTTTACAAGCCACATTGGTAAATGCAGATACATAACGTTTTATGAACGGCCATTTCACGGTATTAAAATATCTCACAATTAGAAACTTTTCTGAAACCGAATTATAACCATCTTTCGAGTAAAAAATTGGAAGAAAATGTGAATTTCTACCGAATAAGTAAAAGAATAAATATTTGTATGCATGTATTCCATGAAATATAATTGAACTTTCAAGGACATCGAAAATCAATGAGGAAATTGCATGCTACGTAAGTAGTCATTTTTGCAGAGTATAGTTCTTGCCTGCAGTTGAAAATAAGTTCATTCGAAATCCGACACCCTGGGGTAATTGGATCATCACAGAATTATGCTGCATGATGAGTAGTTTTACAATCCTACTTAATTAATCTTTTCGAAATGAGAATGCATTTTGAAATTTTGTTTGACATTACATGAGTTAGCCCACCATATCCAACCTCAGGCTTGGACCCTAACTCCTTGGTCGTTAGACTTTGCACTCAATGCTCACTAAATGCGCCTCGGGTCAGCTGCCATGTCAGTTATCGTGGGGAATATTAACGATGGGATAAAAGGCGTTGGCTGGTCGGCGTTAAGGGACGTGCCGGTCCAGTTGCGTCTCGAATAGTCACGATCGCAACCGACGGAACAACGGGCCCGTGGCTCAAGAGTACAGCGTTGGACTTAACGTTCATTGGACAAGGAGCCTGGATTCGACCGTCGGGTCATTCAGATCTGACGTCTAACAAGTCAGAAATGGCCAGTCCAGTCCCCGTGTCTTTACCTGCATGAGATTTGCTTTTCGCGGAAGACTAAGTGCGAATAAACACGTCGAAATGCGCATTTCGTGCAATGAAGGCACACCCACTATCCTTTTTATCCTCGCCAAACATTTTTAGGTTGAAATCATCCAGAAGAGAGATTTTCTTTAAAAACGCTGCAATACAAGTCAGCACTCACAATCAACAAGTTAGTTCGGTTTTGTACCACGATCAAAGTGATTTTACTATTCAGTCGCATGAACGTGCTCACTATCTCCCCCAAACAACGCCTAGCAAACACTCAGAATCTGTCGTCGACTGTCTGTTCGTTTCCTTGAGTAGAATGTCAGAATAAAAACGCAAAGTACTAGGCGTATAAGCAGGCTTCCTGCACCCAGTTCGTTCACATTTGTCATCATTGTTGGGGAAATAATTGAATATCCACCAAAAACCGCTCAAAATTACAAAAAGAAGCTCTCGTTTGCGTAGAGTAGGACCTATAGAAAGATCTAGAGTTAAATGCTACGGATCTTCCTTTCTTAACGAACAGTTTGGGTGCTGTCTCAAGTACCTGCTTGAATGGTAGGTTTGAGGTGTTTGGTTTCAGGGGCCTCCTGACGGATGCAGCATGTGGAGGAAGGCTGGGTGTCCTCTCGTAGACGGCATCAACCAACCTATAAAGTGAACGGAAACCAACCTGAGCATATAAAACTTGATTAACTCTTCCCTCCTTAGTAGGACGTATTTAAGACAAAATCACCCAAGAGTACAGGACTGCGATGAGCATATGTGGAAAAAGGTGACTTGCTTTCATCGCGGTTGCCTGTGAAAGGCCTTATATGACACGCCATCGCTCATCATCATCATCATCATCATCATCATCATCATCATCATCATCATCATCATCATCATCATCATCATCATCATCATCATCATCATCATCATCATCATCACCACCACCACCACCACCACCACCACCACCACCATCATCATCATCATCATCATCATCACCGCTGTTGTTGTTGCTGTCACCATCATCATCATAATCACCATCATACTTAACCCTTTTTGTAAGGTCCAGTCGTCGTCAAATATCCGCGTAGCAGAACAACAGGTGATAATCTTTTCGACTGCGTCAGAATTCAATGTAAAAAGTAAGTACAAAGTTTTCGGGCCGGGGCATTGCACGTTTGACCCTTAAGTTGGCACGAGAATCTGGGTTGGGCCCTAATAACTTCAGCAGACCAACTGCGCAACGCCAGCATCCGCCAAACTGTAGGTAGTATGTTTTGCATATACGAATTTATGTCAAGTATTGGTACTGGGTAAAAATCTAGGAGTGCTTTTTTGCCGATTTTTGTGTTGCTGCTGCTGTTGCAAGGTACAAATGCAGGGGATTAGACTCGCCAGAGGCTGAAACTCGGCGAACCGTACGTCCGAGATTTTGGCCAGGACAAAATACTCCTGACGGGACATCATGCCAGTGCATGAGTGAAGGCTTGAAATACGGGTTAACTGGCCACTCCTCGGGTTGGCTGTGCAACGAGAACACTGTCGGAGAAGACCGCAGCAGACCACTTAACAGACTTTCAGCATTTGAGGGACCGATATCTGTATGAGGTGCTCATTGGATACCGGCTAAACGCATGTCGGTGCGCTTTCAACAGGGTGGGCCTACCAGGTATGCCCACCTCCCCTCCAAGAGTTCACGCCCTGGGTCCATTCGTCGAAGAACGGAGTCAGACATACTGCGCAAGCACGCCTGCGCCCGCGAATCAACATACTACTGAGAATGAATGGCCGTAGTGGTGGGGCGTCGGGAGGAACATACTAACCTTACGAGAATTTGTCCGTCTTTCAGGCTGCGCTGCAGCCCTTCGCGTCCAGTAGCAACAGTTTGCCCGGTGAGTTGGCTGATCCACTGCACGACCTCTTGCTCCGCAGCGGGATCATACTTGCTGTTGAGCTAAAAAAACAACAACAAAAAAAGGATTTTCAAAAGAGTATTTGGTGATCTTACGCGTGCTTTCGACAAATTTTCATCGGGCCTGTACATGGGAACGAGGCACAAATTAAACATGCGAGTGATAGGTGCAATCGACTATGATTCGTCCTTTCATATAAAGGGGGTATGTGAATAAAGTGGGTAGGGGGAGAGGAGGCTGTGAGCGTTAGGCTGAGCCATGTCCGAAGGGGGAGGGAAGGAGGTGGAGGCGCGGAGATCTGCATACATTTAAACAATCCTGGTTCGCGATAGACGCGGAGCGTGCAAGAGGTTGTTCTGCGCGCACAGGACCGACCTCTGTAGCCTGATGGCAGTTGCCTCTGTTGTTGCTGGTATGCGCTGATTTAGTCGCTTAGGTTGGTTAGGTGGGACCATGTTAATCACACAGAAGGCTTCGCTTGGATCCACACGATGCCTCGAATCAACCATGTATGTTCCTAACGTCACCCCTCGTCAATCATGCCGGCAGGTGTTCTCGTATTCTTGCGGATAGGCGCCGACTAGTACGACCAAGATTTTTATACACTCTCTCCACGATAACTTTCACCCATTTCTAAGTATTTTGTGATAGGGCAGAAGAATAGGTGTCCTCCGTACTAAAGGTAACCTTGCGCAAAATCCCCGAAGAGTTGGGGTTAAGAGGGCTTATTTTAAAGCTAGGACGGGGGAATAGGTGCCCTTGGGATCTAGCGTAAAACCTCCTGTAGTATGCGGGGAGGGAGGAATACCTATTCACGTGGTCAACCCGTCTCATCGTGAAAAGCGCGAACAGTATAAAGACCCAACAATTCCTTCGCCACATGCCACTGACCAAATGAACCTCTTCATAGATGGCCGGTACGGTTTTCCTGTGGACAGTACACACACAGCCGCAGGATATCTGTCACTCCAGGCGAAATCGAACCGCCGAGTTATCAATTCAGCGTTAGGTGCTGCGTCTGTGAGCTCCGATGGAGACACTCCCTAATTATTCGAACAACCAGTATTCCTCCAGTTCTTACCCGTAGAACGAGCTCAACTTTATCTATTCATTTTACAAACAAGTCCCCCTCTGGGCGAGGAGTCAACGCGTTAAATTCAATGTGCGTGACCGATGTCACCACTCAAAAAGACAGTTTAAACGGTACAAAATGGAAAGGTGGATGAGCCACAATGATTGCTACTTCTGAAGAATTGTTACGACTTGTTTGGTTATCTGACTACTAGTGCAGCATTTACTTGTTGACAATCTGACCTGCACAAATCTCGGACAACAGCAATTCTTTTCGTTCCTTTTTCAAAGGCTTTTAGTTTTCCAATGACCAATATCTGAACACAGAAGAAGTTGTTTAGCTAGAACGGTGTCAACTAAGCTTACATGTCGATCATTAATCTCACCCACCCCAGGGGCAAAGTAAGACCGCGAGGAGAAAGTGAGGTAGATGCAATGCAAGTGAACTTCAATGTAGACGAATTCACGCTCAAGTCACCGCTACCGAGTACACCTCGTGCTGGTGTAACGATGAATGTCGTAGCTTACGATGGCCAAACGATCTTCTATGTCCTATTCCAGTAGTTTAGAGCGGTAGCCGATATTAGAAAAACGGAACCTTATGCACAATAAGGGTCTGTTGCTAGAAGTTCTAACAGTTGAATCTAGCCAAACAAACATCTTAACTTGATCACTCAATGGCGGCCGTCAGGTGCTTGACAGAAGGCGCCTTCTGAAGCGGGTGGGCGTCAGATTCGTTTGCAGCGCAAACAGGGCGAAACTTCATGATTGGATGACCGGTTATGACGTTTCTGATGTAGGTGGCATTTTGACATAAGTAATCTGTTCTTATTTGCTCCCCTGTTTATCACAAACTCCCACTTGCAGGAAATCAATCTACCGCACAATTCAATTTGGTAGGGCACGCTGGCCTGTTACGCTAAGGTCGGGAGTATTAAGGCTGATTTTAGTATTAGGGTAAGCGCTAGGGATAGGGAGTTACATTAGAAATAATTCCCTAAGCTCATTTTATGGGGAGTCAAACTCACTTTAAATGTGATACTTAGTGAAAGGAGCGATTCAGCTTTACAAGTCTTTTCAGACAGGCATATAACCATTCGCCCTTATGACTAAATACTGTACCATATCAATAGAAGTAAATCACCAATAGGTTGCCACATAAAGCTACTATGTTTTCCTTATTTTAGCGGCCTTATGTCGTACGCCGCTATCAGTCAAGGATGTAAATTGAGCAGACACTTAAAAATGTCATTTTCGGAAAAGACAGTCAAATGCCCAAGAAAAGGAGTATGAAGAAAAAAGCTGGTCAAATGTACCATTTCGGAGGCGGATAAATAAATGTGGACGCCTGGATGGAGCATGTATTTCAGGAGAGAGTGAATGGTAACATTTAATTCATGCCACAATACACGCCACTGAGGTTTATTTATCGGGGTCCTTTAAAATGTAATCATTCAAAGGGAAATATAATATCATATGAAGTGTCCCCTTCAGTCTGTTTTGCAAGCGCATCTAAAAAAACTATTTTTCCATTTGAAAGATTCTGAAAGAAATTCGATCCATGTTTATGAGGCCTGAAGCATAGCCCATGACGCTTGACTGCCAGCGTATCTTCAAATCACCCTCTGCAAAATAAAATCAATGTTTATTCCACCAGCCAATGACACTTTTGGTCACCAATGGACGTTTAATTCCACCAATCACAGTGAAGAGGACGCGAGCGCGCGCGCGCCCCATATGGTAAGGCGTCTTGCTCAATGGGAAGCTCAGCACGAACTCCCAACTGTAGTTCTCCCAGATCTGCGGTCGGAATATGCCTGACAGACAGTTCCCACTAGACCAAAACTGGCCATTTCTGGAAAGCGAAGCAAGATTACATATTCTCCCACTTGGTCTGCTCTCACTCTCGCTCAAGATTGAATGAAGAAGGCTCGAAGTTTTTGCCGAAATGAAAGAAGTCGTGTTCTATCGAAAAAAACTAGCGCAAACAGCCAAATTCCTTCTTACTAAAGTACTGCCTATTTGTGATGAATGGACATAAAGTACTATGAGTTTTTTTTTCAGGCAAATTATGCTGGATTCAGGAAAAGTTGAAATGGCTCATTCCAATCAATCAACTACAGACGTGGGGGTGCTTGCCCGCACCTTCAAGTACAGGCTGTCTGTACAACAAAAGATACAGAATGGTGTCTGAATACATCGTTATAAAGCCTGTACCATGAAATCTGAGTCCTTTATACCCTCGTAGGATACTCAGCCTTGTCCAGCACTCTGTAGTTTTGGTTGGTCGTGTAGGCAAGAATTCAAGGGTCTGTCGCTGCGACGGGTTTTTTCAAGAAACTTGTTTTTTGGCAACGTCGAGTTGACCGTCATTTACCAAAATGATTAAGTATGCAAGAGTTAACAACGTTGTATAGAGAAGTTAGTAGTAGTATAATTAGATTGTCCAGGCCTGCGATAAGGCCTAATTCTAAGCGGGTTTGTCATGGAATTTAAGGGCTCTACAATAATAAAGAACTAGAAAACGAAGCAAGATCGCAGGTTCTCTCACTTTGCCGCCAATAGCTCTTATTTATTCTGTCACGGTTGGGTGACGAAAGCTCGAAGTCCTTGTCGAAATGAGAACAATGGTGTTCTTTCGAATAATCTAGCGCAAACTCCAAAATACCCTCTTCTCACATTACCGCCTAAGTAACTAGACTTCCTCCCACTACGTCAAGATCGCTGCTTCCCTCGTGGCGACTGCTGATGCCTAGACGAAAGAAACTTAGAACCGCTTGAGCGGTCAGTTGTCAGCAATTTTACACCAAACAAATCCACATTAACATTTCCTGTTTCCTCAGTATCATAGCTGCGAAAGCTCCTCTGGAATGATTGAATAGACGTCTGCGATCATTTCGGAGGCCAGCGATTTCGTTGGCAACACGTGCATCAGTGTCGACTTGCCTTTAACTCTAACCTGTTAGTTGTTTTGACAAGACATGCATGCTCGCTGACAGCCAAATTTGGGAAAACCGAAAAAGGATGTCTGTTTGGTCAGTTTCAGGCAGTGAGCCTGGCACTATGACAATTTTTTAGTAAATTTTCCCTATGGGTTTGTAGATTTGACTGACCGAAGTCAAGAGGCCAGTGGTGATGCATGCAAACGTCTTAAATTTAACACGGATAATCTTCCGTTCGCCTATCTGAAGCACCAACATTCAGGTTCATCAGGTTCGTTTTGCAAAAGGGAGCTCTATGCCTGTCACTATAGGATTGTCAAAGTCCACTAAGGCATACGTGGTCATGTAGATATGAGAGAGCGCGCAGATAAGCTGAAGCTCCAAACAAGGATACAGACTGGTTGTATTTCCCTTCCCTCGAGCAGGGTTTACACAAAGATTAACCGCACTTCTGTCTAAGCCGGGACGGGTGAGACTCCTGAGGCCGTGCGCACAGTCCGTCAGATAGCAGCCTAACAACATTTCTGTGGATGTACCATAGAATTAGTTGTGCAATAATGGGATTTTAAAAAATCCCTATCACTTTAACAGACTGACTTTGCTTCTGAAATATATTCGAAAATAATTATTCTGGGGTTCTAAGTAAAGTACGATACGAGTAAAAAAATTCGGAGTACTCACCCGCCTGGAGATAGCTGACTCCGTGGTAACGCCATTTTCCTCGCCGTTCATGATTGAGGGGAGTGGGGGAATAAGTCCGAGAGCAAGATCTGTACGACTGGACGCTGTCCTGGTATCTGGCGCAAGAACAATTGCCCGTAACACCTACAGCGGACGAAGAAACGAGGCTTGCCTTCCCCCCCAACCCCCCTCGCATGCAACCCCTCTGCCATACCTGCTTAACCAATGACCTCTGCGTGCCCCCATCCCCGCTCTACCAGCCAAAACGACAGCGTGCCAGGGGCTCGGGGAGGCTATATGCACACGTACGCACACAAGTTACACGTGAAGATCGCCAATAGGGTATAAAGCAGGGCAAGCGTACGCCCGCCAACAACAGCACTTTCAGCTGTCCAATCAGCAATCAAGCGTACACTTTCTCCCAGCCGTACGCACACACACGCACGTGCATGCACTGTGTGGCAAAATCGATAGAACTGTGTTGGCAGTAGCGCTGGCAGCTGGGACAGGCAGCCTTTTTAATTGCCAAATGCACCACGCCTACACCCGTTGTTGCTGACGTCCGTGCGGACGCACATCGAACGCTCACGTAATCGGTGACTGCGTACACGCCGTGGGGGAAGGAGGGGGGACGGATTGGGGGTAACCCGTACGCTAACAGCCTCCGCCAAGGCGGAAATACCACGAATACTAGCTGTTGCTACTGCTTCCGCTGCCGCAGCCGATGTGGTGCAACTACTGCGATGCGCTTGATCAGATGGAGCCCGTTTTTTGTACACACGCACAGCATGCCAATGTGCACTTTGGAGGAACTCAGGCGGGGGCGGTGCAGGCGGGCGGGCGGGCGGGCGTGGTGCTGGGAGGTAACAGAGAGGCCTGATGGACACCGTAGGGCGTCAGTCGATCTTCGAAGAAGGGTGCGTGCAGACATCTACAGGCGCGTACACGCCAGATAGACCTTTCTGGCCTTGCAACTGTTACCACAGCAAATCTCGTCAACAGCTCCTAGGCAAATCCCCTCTGCCGGTCAGATTCCCCAAAGCGAAGTAGACGCCTCGACTATAAGTTGTAAAATCCGTCCGACTGACTCGGTGGACAATCCCTTCGTCGATTAGTGGGTTTTTGCAGTTTCCAGGAAACTACCTAATTCAGGCAGGTCGCATCCACAGCCGAATGTGGAGAGCTCGAGAAAAAAAGTGCCTGTAAACTGGAACCCAACAGAGAGTAGGGATGCGATAGATGATATTTCGTAGCCATGCTTACTGAGCATGCGACGCTCCGAGCAGTTTGGTTTGATGTGCACGTGGATGGCGAAAATTGTGAGACTCTTTCAAGTAGCGGTAAGACAGGCTGCATGACTAGTTCCATCAGACTTACCTTCTGCCTTCTCATACTTTCGTCTTGGAGTCCTCTGGCCTGAAGACCAAAATGAACTAGTTCTGCTTAGGTGGCAGGTGAGTCTAATTAAGAAGTCCCTAAAGTGACTTATCAGATGCTGGATATGATCTGCTGTGGGGAGTTTGGTTCTGCAGCCGCATTTGATTGATACCATGTGGTTAGCTTACTAAAACAACTTTAGTTAACATGCCTAACTTAACCACTCACTGCGTTAGCGGTGCTCGAAGCACTGAAGGTAGCGTGTGCACACTCACTCACCCCAAAACAGCCACTCGCTGGATTAAGAGGATATGGGGGAGCACAGTCACAACTGGAAGGCCACTGAGGCTACCGCGGGGTAATTCGCAGTGCATGACCCCTGTAATGGAAGCGACGGAGCTCCACACCGTCAGAACAATTCCTTAAGCAAGTCTACTTAGCCGCTCGTCGGATTGAAATAATCAAGAGGGCGCAAGCAGGACTAGAAGCGCGTGTGAACTGATGACTGAAGTAACCGAGTCTGACGTATAAGCACTCTACACGCCGTGGCACAGTCACTCTTTGGATTAAAATGGTAAGGAAGATGCGGATACGTGGCATTTGTAAAGTCAGAGTACGCAAATCTACCAAAATTTCTTTAGAAAGCTAACCATGTGATATCACTCAGGTGGGGCTGCAGGACCAAAGCTCGCCGATCAATGATCCAGAATAATCCCAAGACCTTCGGTGTGGCAATAAAAGAGAACGTGGGAAACCGATGACTAGAGGTTTGCTATGACAAGTACCGTGTAGGCGGAACGGGTTGTTTATAAGACGAATCGTAATCGGGGAGGGGGGGATTTAATCTCCCAAGTAGATGTACTAACTCATGAAATGTCAACCAAAATTTCGAAATGCGTTCTCGTTTCGAAAAGATAAATTAATTAGTGTTGTAAAACTAATCACGATGCAGCATAAATCTATAATGATCCAGTTACCTCAAGGTGTCGGCTTTCGAAAGAACTCATTTTCGGCTGCATGCAAGATCTATACTCCGCAAAAAATGACTACTTAAGTAACATGCAATTTTCTCATTGATTTCCAATGCCCTCGAAAATGTAATTATATTTAATGGAAAAGATGCACAAAAGTATTCATTCTTTTTCTTATTCGGCAGAAAATCACGTCTTCTTTCGATTTCATACTCAAAATAAGAGTATAATTCGGTTTTAAAAAAGTTTCTAATTGTGAGATTTTTCTATACCGTTAAATGGCCGTTCATGAAACGTCATGTATCTGCATTTACCAATGTGGCTTGTAAAGTTAACAATATTGCTCAAATCCACTGCTTAATTTTAGGAACCTCATATAGTCTCCTCTTAACAATGTAGAGAAATGGTTTTCTGTACACGCAAAATATACAGCTTGTAGTTTTGAAACCCTGAATGCAAGTGTAACAGCAGGTCGGGTTCAAAATTATTCGGGAATAAGAAAAGTTTTTTAAAACCGAATTATACTCTCCTTTTGAGTACGAAATTGGAAGAAGACGTGATTTTCTTAGGAGAAAGTAAAAGAATGAATATTTTTATGCATGTTTTCCATGAAATATAATTGACTTTTCAAGGGCGTTGAAAACCACTGAGAAAATTGCATGCTACATAGGCAGTAATTTTTTGCCGAGTAAAGACCTTGCATGCAGCCTAAAATACGTTCTTTCGAAAGCCGACACCCTGGAGTAACTGGATCATTATAGATTTATGCTGCATCATGATTAGTTTTACAACACTACTTAATTTATCTTTTCGAAGCGAGAACGCATTTCGAAATTTTGGTTGACATTGCATGAGTTAGCACATCTACTGTAAGTGTATAGTTGGCTGCAATTGGTGGCCTTAAAACGTTGACTGACAAGCTCATTTCTACTACGTCGGTGATAGTTTTAAAGTTGCAACTGAAATGAAGGCAGTTTAAAAGCCAAGAAAAGCTAATTCCAATTTTCTTTTTGCGGAGCTTCTAGAAACCATGCAATTATTTGTAGTGCCTAGATTAATGGGTGTACCTTGGAGCTCTATAATCATCAGGCCATGTCTTAATTAGCAGTCTAGGACCAGGGGTGGCGATTGGATATGCGGTCCTCTAATACCAGAATGGTTGTAATGGGGGTTTTTATGTGTGGGGCGACCGAGACTGACAGAAAGCTGCTTCTAGCCAGCAAAGATAGAATACAGTTAGGCGATCGGTTTGTTCGACTGCACCAATAAAGTGCAAAAACGCAGGCGCGCAAATTTATATACGGAATTTAGGAACTGTGAACGGTCGGAACCAATCGAAACAGAGGACATTGGTTGGATATTCTAGGCGAACTGATCCCAGTCCGTGATGACCAATCATACTGAAGGAGAAAGAGTGAAGAATCTATGGCTAACTCCGACTCTTGTGATGGCCGCGACCGGATTTGGCAGCGTTGATAGAATAACTCATAAAATTGAATTCATGCCTACAGAACAACCCGAATCATAACCACTAACCCTGATCCTAGTCACAGCGCCTGGTCCTCGACCTCAAACCCAACACTCACTCTAACCCTAACCCCTGGCCCTGACTTCTAATTACAACCCTTACTTTCAACCTCAGATCAAACTCTAACCGCTAACCCTAACCGTAACTAATAACCTCCTAACCCTAAGCCGAACGCCAGTCCTAATAGTAACACTTGACGGAGGAGTGACGGGGAAAGGGGGAAGGAGAATGAGCAAATCAAGTCTATCAAAATTGCATAAATAGGTAGTTTATGAAAGAAAAATCCAAGTGGGGCCACATACCCGATTTTTGCCGACACCGGAATGAGGAGCTTGATGTGTACCAAAGCCGGATTGTTGTCGTCGGCAGCAATGACCGCTAGAGAGGCCAAGGAGCGTGTTGACCGTAAAAAGTCATGTCTAAGAGAGAATGAGACAGTGGGGTCAGATGTTTTCATATGCGAGTCAGAAATAGGTCCGGACCGACCGTGGCTACTGGCGTCGGTTGCAATGGGGACTAGGTTGTGTGTGTGTGTGCGTGTATGCCCTCAAAACGGGCCACGTGTTAGATGCGCTGGACCAACACGGGGGCCACATCGGACTCTGGCAGGCGTTATCTGTGCGCAATAACAAATGTCAGCATTTGCGGGGTGCTCTGGCAGACCCGTTGTCGGCAGTAGTCGCACAATTGGACAACTGCCATCCCCCATTGTTCTGTGGTCAAAATCCTGGTCATTTGTGTGTGGACCAGGGGGTGCGGAGTGGAGCGCCAAGGCGAGGATCCGTCCGAGCCATCCGCCTGCGGCCTCCCCCATCTCCGGTCTTCTTGACTCGGTTTTGACACCGGGCTCAGGCGGGGGAGGAGGAGAGAGTGTAGGTAGATGCTACGCAAGTCTACTGGCACTATAAACCCCTGCGTAAGTCACCGTCCCTGCTCCCACAATGCAGTCTGTGGGGGACACGGTGGACATCGCCGAAATCGACGGTCGAACTGTCGCGTGTGTTTGTGTGTGTGGGGTGTAGGGGTGTCCAGCGGTGGGTTCCCGTGATGGTCGTAGTGGTCGCTCACTTGCTTGCAGGTGAGACTACGCTTAGCGTCCATTTGCTGGCACCCAACTCTCACTTGTGGCTCCACGTAGCTGAGCTCTGCTCAGCGGCCACACCCTGGGCAACCGTCTGGATCGGCGGGCTAAACCAGGTGAGGGTATCCGTGCGTTCACCTGCACACGCGGTACTGTGGTCTCCGCTGGCGGATGGATCTTCGCGCCGACATCGTCGAGACGAGGCTCTGCTTGACCATCGCAGGGGGCCACCAGGTAAGTTCTTCTTCAGGTAAGTGAATTTGCTTTGTTTCTTCCTTTTGTCTGATGAAGTTCCGTGTTGTCTGCTGCTCTTGTTGCCTGCCCTCTATATGTTAGTTTGTCTGTTATTATCTAGATGAAACTCTTGATGCCTGCTGCGACTGTCTGCCTGTCTGTCAATCTATGCCTCTCTCGGCTAATAGCTAGGTGTTACTATGCTTAATCTTGAAGGACGCCCTCTGATTTCTGTCTCTGACTTATGACTGTGTCTGCTTGTCCACTCTAGCTAGCTGTAAGTCCCATAGCGTTCTGTTGTGTGTTTCCTCTCAACCACTTCATCACCATCATCACCAAGGTCCCAGGCTAATTCGGGTCGTTTTCTCACTAACAAAAAGTCGTGGCCCATAGTGGAGTTCGGCAGCCGTCTGGGATAACCGGGCAGCTCTATTCAGGGATGCGCTGCCTGCCCTCGCGAGGGGGGCGGGACTAGAAAAGGTGCCCTAAAGATCGCTGGGAACCACGCTGTCTGTAGGCTAGCCGTGGCCGCAGACAAACCAAACACGGTCGAAACAGCCAAAACCGAAACAACAACAACAACAACAACAGCAACAACAACAACAACAACAATCACTCTCTTACTCTTCCAGCCTATTCTTCTTCTTCTCCTCCTAGTTTTCGCCGCCGCAGTCGCCAGACGGGCAGAGTGAGTCCGCCCACTCTGGCAGCCTGGAATGTTCGTTCCCTTTTAGACAATCCGAGCAGCAACCAACCGGAACGGAGGACGGCGCTAGTGGCACGGAAACTGGCGCGCTACAAGGTGGACATTGCCGCACTCAGCGAGACCCGATTCTCCGAACAAGGCCAACTGGAGGAGGTGGGTGCCGGTTACACTTTCTTCCGGAGTGGTCGACCCAGCGCAGAGCGACGAGACGCGGGTGTCGCCTTCGCCATCCGGAACGACATCGTGGGACAACTGCCCTGTTTGCCGCAGGGCATCAACGATCGCCTGATGAGCCTCCGTCTGCCTATCCGGCGGGGGGGGGGACAATTAGCCCCCATCATCAGCGCCTACGCTCCGCCCATTACCAGCCCCGACGCCGCCGCAAGAGACAAATTCTACAGGGCCTGCACGCCCTCTTGGCGACTGTGTCGAAGGCGGACAAGCTGGTTGTCCTCGGCGACTTCAACGTCCGCGTCGGCACAGACCATACTGTCTGGAGAGGAGTGCTGGGTCCCCACGGGCTCCGCGGCTCAAATGACAATGGTCTGCTGCTGCTCCGCACCTGCGCAGAACACCGCCTCATCCTGACGAACACGTTCTTCTGTCTGCCGGAGCGAGAGAAGGCCACCTGGAGGCATCCTCGGTCGCGTCAGTGGCACCTGCTGGACTATGTCCTCGTCCGAAGGCGTGACCAGCGGGACGTGCTGGTGACGAAGGCGATCGCGGGTGCTGAGGGGTGGACCGACCATCACCTCGTCATCTCGAAGATGCGTAGGAGACCACAAGGTAAGCGACGGCCAGGTTAGCTGAATGTTGCCTTGTTGTTTTTGCTCACTCATCATCTTCATTTCAGCAATAAACTAGCTTAACGACTAGACAACCTTCCAATAGCTGTCGCAGACGACGCCGCCACTGCCGAGAACGTCTCCATGGAGAACCGCTGGTGTCAGCTGCGAGACACGGTCCAGTCGACGGCGCTCGCCGTCCTCGGTCACGCTCCCCGCCAATACCAGGGTTGGTTCGACGACAACGACGCCGCCATCAGCAATCTGCTTGCTGAGAAGAACCGCCTACACAAAGCCTACGTAGATCACCCCACAGAGGACAACAAAGCTGCCTTCTACCGTAGTCGCCGCCAGCTTCAACAACGGCTGCGTGAGATGCAGGACGCCTGGACTGCTCGCAAAACTGAGGAGATCCAAGGCTACGCGGACCGCAACGATTGGAAGAACTTCTTCTCTGCGATCAAAGCTGTCTACGGTCCGCCGACGAAGGGCACTGCTCCTCTCCTCAGCGCCGACGGCAGCACTCTCCTGACTGAGAAGACGCAAATCATGCAGCGATGGGCCGAGCATTTCCGAGGCGTCCTCAACCGCCCTTCAGACATCTCCGACGCCGCCATCGAGCGTTTGCCGCAAGTGGAGACCAACGCGGACCTAGACCTCCCGCCATCTCTCCAGGAAACCATCAGGGTCGTGCAGCAGCTCTCTAGCGGGAAAGCACCCGTATCGGACGCGATCCCTGCTGAGGTCTACAAGCACGGAGGTCCCCAAATGATGGATCACCTGACTGCGATCTTCTAAGAGATGTGGCGTCAAGGCGAAGTCCTGCAAGACTTCAAAGACGCAACAATCGTGCATCTCTACAAGCGAAAAGGGAATCGCCAATTCTGCGACAACCACCGCGGCATCTCCCCGCTGAACATTGCCAGGAAGATCTTCGCTCGCATCCTTCTCAATCGCCTCAATAACCATCTCGAACAGGGTCTACTGCCGCAAAGCCAATGCGGCTTCCGTCGTCATCGTGGGACCACGGATATGATCTTCGCCGCCCGTCAACTTCAGGAGAAGTGCCAGGAGATGCGAACCCACCCGTACTCCACCTTCGTGGACCTGACGAAAGCCTTCGACACGGCGAATCGTGAAGGACTGTGGAAGATCATGCAGAAATTCGGCTGTCCGGAGCGATTCATTCAGATGGTGCGTCAGCTGCACGACGGTATGATGGCGCGAGTCACAGACAACGGAGCTGTCTCAGAGGCATTCGCAGTGACCAACGGAGTGAAGCAGGGATGCGTGCTGGCGCCTACCCTCTTCAGTCTTATGTTCTCTGCCATGCTGATGGACGCCTACCGCGACGAACGCCCTGGAATCCGCATCGCCTACAGGACGGACGGTCATCTCCTGAATCAACGGCGCATGAACTTCCAATCGCGCGTATCCATAACCACCGTTCACGAACTCCTCTTCGCTGACGACTGCGTCCTGAACACCACCAGGGTAGATGAGATGCAACGGAGCATGGACCTGTTCTCCGCCGCCTGCGAGAACTTCGGTCTGGTCATAAACACGCAGAAGACGGTGGTGATTCACCAACCGCCACCCAACTTAGCCACAGCCCCCAACGCACCGCCGCAAATCAGCGTGAACGGAACCCAACTGCAGGTGGTGGAGAACTTCCCGTACCTGTCAGTACTCTCTCCCGCAACACCAAGATCGATGACGAAGTCGCCAACAGGATCTCGAAAGCCAGTCAAGCCTTCGGTCGCCTCCAAAGCACAGTTCGGAATCGGCACAGTCTTCAACCGAGCACGAAGCTGAAGATGTACAAGGCCGTCATCCTGCCGACGCTACTGTACGGAGCAGAGACCTGGACGGTGTACACGAGGCAGGCACGCTGACTGAACCACTTCCACCACCGTTGTCTTCGTCGCATCCTGAGGCTGAACTGGCAGGATCGCATCCCCGACACTGATGTGCTGGAACGAACGGGAATCCTCAGCATCTACGCCATACTGAGAAAAATGCAGCTGCGCTGGAGCGGCCAACTGGTGCGCATGGACGACGAGCGACTACCCAAACGACTCTTCTACGCAGACGTCGCGACGGGTTCTCGTCGTCAAAGAGGCCAAATTCGCCGATACATGGAAACCTTGAAATCCTCCCTGAAGCAACTGCAAATCAACCCGACCAACTGGGAAGAGCTCGCCCGCGATTGTCCGACATGGAGGAGAACAGTGAAGACGGGCGCTGCTATCCACAAAGCCAACCGCATCGCCGCCGCCAAAGCGAAACGCGAAGCCCGCAAATCACAACTTCGTCCAGTACGCAACGCCGCCGCACAACCGCTTCACACGTGTCCTCGATGTCAACGGACATTCCGGGCTCGAATTCGCCTTGTTGGAAATCTTCGGATCAACTGCGCCTCTCGAACTTCATCAATCGTCGTCCCCCCGCCCGCCTCCTCCTTGTCCTCTCTGCCGCCAATTAACTCCGACAATTCTTCTGTACTACCACTTCCATCCTCCTCCTCCTCCTCCTCCTCCTCCTCCTCCTCCTCCTCCTCCTCCTTTACTGCCCCATCGACGGCCGCTCAGGCGTCTGTCGCTCAAGGAGACACCGCACACATCCCTGACACAACACCAGACATCACCCCTGCAGCCTCCGACTTCAGACGTGAGGACCAGGACTACATCTGCCCTCACTGCGAACGCACCTTCACCTCACGCATCGGCCTGGTCGGTCACTTGCGAATCCACCGCACAGAGACTGGCGAACCAGTGCCTGGAGCACCCACCTATACCCACCAAGCTCGTCTCAAATGCCCACACTGCCCTCGCACCTTCACGCATCGCATTGGTCTATTCGGCCACATACGCATCCACGAAGACCTGCGGTAGACAATCACCGGTTACACCACACATCCACACACTCCCTACCCTCCTCCACCAATAACAACACACATCAACACTCACCCACCGCATGCACCAAACTGCCACCTACCACGCAAGTTGGAAGTGTGCATCTCGCCTCGGTCCCCATGAGGCTTCGGCTGCACGGGTGACCTGAGTCCGAGACTATCCCGACACGTCAAGCGTCGTGGATAGGAAGGTTGCTGATTGACGCCCGCTCTCGGTTCACGCAGCTCGTCGCGTTGTGTGTGTGTGTTGTGTGGAGTGGCGGACTGGTGGGCTGGGGACGGGCTGAAGCAGCACCTTCCACGGCCCTCTCACGCAAGTGAGAGGCACGCCGTTCAACCCCCGTTGTGTGTAATCCTGGTGTTTGTGTGTATGGGGGGGGACAAGGTCGTGCTGTGGCGCGCGCAGGCATGGTCAGTCGACCGTGCCAGCCACCGCGCCCATTTCCCACTCCAGTCTGCTGACCGGCTCGGATAGCGGCTGGGGTGTGGAAATGAGAAGAGAGCGTGAGGTCGATGACTCAGCGCAATTTCCTCACTATAATCAATCTGACGCGCTTGAAGCTATCACGGTGCGCTTAAAGCCGTGGCTTGGAATGTTGCCAACTGACGGGGTAACTTGGACCTCCTCCTTGACCGGTGGTGGTCTGAGAGTCAGGCTGCAATGGCTCCTTTTAAACGTGGCCTTTATGGCCCTCTCACCACAGTGTGGGATCTGAGCCAGGCGACGGCGGCACGCCCAGGTGCGGCTTCGGTCGTGCCAGCCTCCAAATCTCGGTTGTGTTGGTTGAAATCCTGGTTATTGTTGTGTGGACCAGGGGGTGTGGTGGAACGCCTAGGTGAGGATCCGTCCGAGCCATCCAACTGCGGCCTCCCCCGTCTCCGGTCTTCTTGACTCTGTCTTGCCACCGGGCTCAGGCGGGGGGGGGAGGAGAGAGTGTAGGTAGATGCTACGCAAGTATACTGGCACTATAAACCCCTGCACAAGTCACCGTCCCTGCTCCCACCTGCTGTGAGGCACACGGTGGACATCGTCGAAATCGATGGTCGAACTGTCGTGTGCGTGTGTGTGGCACTCGTAGACGGACTGTCTAGCTTTGTCGGACACTGAGTCCAACCCTATCATTAGCTGATTGACAGGCTCGGACAGTCGACCGGTGAATGGAAGAGGGACGATAGAGTCACCATTGTAAGTTAGCGCATTTTGTACTATAACTGACCTAACGCGATAGTGTCTATCACTCAAAGGTTGCCATTTAACAGGATAACACGGTTTTTCTCAGAACTGAGATTCAGAATCTGACAGATCCCTCCTAATATGTCTTTTATGGCACTCCGATATCCGAGCTGTTCATGCAGTGGACGCGAGGTTGTGTGTGGCAGGCGTAGGCAGACTGTTCAACCCTGTCAGTCACTGACCCGGATCCACCTCCGGTCGTCTCGATATTTTGTCGCCACCGGGCAAGATAGGTGACGAAGGAAGGAGAGCGGTAGATGCTGTGTCAGGTTACCCCATGACAGACTAATTCTTGTGCGAGTCCCCAGTGTTGCACCAACTCCTTGGGGCACTCAGTGACCAACTTTGCTTGTCAGGGCCGAACTGTTGGTTTGCACTACCCAGGGAATGGACTGTCCAATGATCTGCGCCGCATTAACCGAGGGGCAGCTTACTCAAGTGGGGAGGGGGACCTCAGCGTCTATGTGGACAGGTGATCGTCTGCATCTTGATCGACAGACGTGGCTTGGATAGCAACCAACTCGCGGGATAACTCAGTCCTCCCTTCTGGACAGAAAGTCGGACCGGAATGCTCCATCTTAAAATGGCCTCAGATGAGATTCGAGCCGTCTAGATTCTTGTATCTGTGAAACCGTGCGATCTTGTTCGAGGACCACCGGCACGTGACACGCGGAGGCGCGTTATTTAGTTCTGTGGATAACTGCTGCCGATCCCGCCTCCGGTCTCCTTGACTCCGTCTTGACACCAGACTCAGGTGGATGTGGGGAGAAGAGAGTGCGGTAGATGTAATTCAAATTTGCTGCCACTATAAAGTAATCTACGCGGAAATTCACCGTACCTGCGCCCATCCTGCCGTGGGATATCGTCGTTCACGACGATTGACATGTCATGTTGCATTAACCGAGGGATTGCTTTCTTAATTGGGACCTGGACGTCTGTGGCTGTCTGGAGTTTCGTGTGGTCATTGAAAAGCTGCCGGTCAGCGATTCGGAAATGAAATCAAGTTGCTTTGCAGCTGAAGCCGAATGAGCTTACGTTGTTTGAGTCTCGAAGCGGATGGGGTGACTAGTGCAAAGATGGCGATCGATCATAGTTCACAAAGTCATTACAAGCGGGATTTTTGTTCCTCATGGTGTTTGCGATGTTGCAGTAACAGGGAGAATCCTGGCTGAAGTTTTTAATGGTAGAGGGAGTGCCCACCGATTGTTCTTGTTCTGTTGTGCCTTACGGGCTCTCTCTCTCGCGCCCATCCAGCAACTGCGCAGCGGCGCATGATATAGGCGGAATTGTATTACCGACAAAAACAGGGGAGACTGGAATGGCCATTTCTGGCTAATTACCCGTCATCAGGCGCTCATACCCAATCCCGAAGTGTGGAACACCTGGGGCTCGAACTCGCCATTCCAGTCTCCTTTGTCTTTGCCGGTAGTACCATTCACAAATTTTTAGTTTGCTATCCAGCAGAGAAGGGTACGTGCGTGGGTTGAAATGTCGACATGGAACACAGTCAGTCCTCGACAGGTGGTTTTCCCGACCAAGACGACAGCTGTTTCGGAATGACAGCTTCCGCTCACCCGCCATCACACGTCAATCATACCCGTGCTGGGAAAACCTGGTAGCTGGGACTGGAACCTAAAAGGAAATGGAACGTCATGTTCCCTCCTGCAATAAGGCTTTTAAACTATCAGCTTTATTTATTGGCTATTTGCATTTTTCATCGCAGTTTCCTCATGAACACTAGTTCTTGCTCCGCATGCACAAATGAGGTGAAGGAAGAATCGAGCGCCATCTCTGCTGTGATTCGAATTACTGGTCCTCCTTCGTCAGTGCCTTGTAGACCACTAAAAGGATCCAAAACGCATTCATCGTGAACACGCCCAGAAGCAGTGGCCTTGCCATCTGAGACTGACTTTAGCGGACGCGGACAAGTCTAGACAGTCGCAGCCACACACGTCGCACGAGCTGCACACCGGGACACAAGGTTCCGGCAAACCTGTGAGGGCGAATAGCCGTTCACATGCTCCACGCCCCCCCACTCCCTCTCCCAGTCAAGACACATGCCCTAGCCTTGGCAACGACTACTGCTGTCCGACACAGTTGCTTCGGGTTCTGCACAGAAACTTGACCCGATGGTTGTGAGTGCAGGGTGACCCACTGCTTCATTCGCGGCAAGCGGGTGAAAGACAAGCAATTCCGTGAGAAAAGTCTGTTAATTTCTTGTTGTTGTGGTTGTTTGCTTGCCGTAAGGACAGTTGCGGCAGTGTTTGTGATTGGTTGCGGTTGTCGGTGGGGCTGGTTGCAGCTGTTATTTGTGTCTGGACGGCCACCTGGTCTCACTGTCCGACCGCAGCAAGCCGGAACTAAAGACACCGAGTTTCAGCGGTGACAGTGCTGCTGACGGTGACGCTGTGCAACGTGGAAACTGAGACAGTTGTCGTGAGCGTGGATCTGACAAGTCCGATGCGTGTCCTGAAAGCCATGTAACAGTGCGGGCATTCGTGGTACGTATTTCTCACTAGCAACATTGCTGCCTGGCACTCGAGATTTGCTCGCCTTCCTTCTCGCTTTGGTCAACTCCATGCGATGGTCTTTATAGGTTGCTCCTTCGGTTCTTGCTGTCGTGCGCCGAACCTTTCTCAGGTTTTTTTAACTGATTTTCAGGTGCTTGCATGCCGTATTCAGTGTGTCCCTGTGCCAAGGCTAATTCCACCTTGTCTGCAGCCACCTGCATGGACGTTACCGCAGAGTTTTTACCTGGGCGCGCTCTCATCATTCATCCTCTCGCCCCGTAACAGATGCGTCTGCGTCGATATGGTGCATTAACTGAGACCGCCAATTACTGCCAGGACAACGATGTATGCGTTCCTTTTCAGCAGCAACAGTTTTACTATCCCACTGATGTCGCTAAGGTGAAAATGATTGAGGTTGCCCAATTGACGTATGAGGACTATTTGAAGTAAGTGGGTAAACTCATCAAATCTCAACAGAAATTCCGAAAGCGTTTTCGTTTCGAAAATATTACTTAAGTAAGGTTGTAAAACTAATCAGCATGCAGCATAATTTTAAAAAATCCAGTTTCCCCAGGATGCCGGCCTCCGAACAGACTACTCTGTAAAAAGTGACTACTTCAGTAGCATGCATTTTTCCATTGACTTTCGGTGCCCTTAAAAATTCAATTATATTTTATGGAAAGCATGCATAAAATATTCATTCTCCCGCTCATTCGGTAGAAAATTACGTCTTCTTCTAATCTCATACTCGAAGGAAGGGTATTATTCAGTTTTCAAAAACGTTTCCAATTCCCGAATAATTTTGAACCCGTTCCACCGTTACACTTGGATTTTGGGTTTCCAAACTACAAGCCGTTTTATTTCCATACATTTATCTACGGTTATAAAGGGGGATCATACAGGGTTCATAGAACCAAGCAGTGGATTTGAGCCACATTGTTAACTTCACAAGCCACATTGGTAAATGCAGAGACATGACGTTTTATGAAGGGCCATTTCACGGTATTAAAAAATCTCACAATAAGAAACTTTTTGAAACCAAATTATGTTCCTCTTTCGAGTATAAAATTGGAAGAAGACGTAATTTTCTACTGAATGAACAAAAGATAAATAATTTTATGCATGCTTTCCATGAAATATAATTGAATTTTTAAGGACATCGAAAATCAACGAAAAATGCATGCTACTGAATAAGTCATTTTTTCCAGAGTATAATTTTTGGGTGCAACTGAAAAGAAGTCTGGTTGAAAGCCGGTGTCCTGGGGAAACTGATTTTTAAATTAATTATGCTGTATGATGTTTGGTTTTACAATTCTAACTAAGCAATCTTTTCGAAGCGAAAGCGCATTTCAGAATTTCTGTCGAGACTTCATGAGCAAGCCCACCTACTGTAAGTCTCTGCCCCATATGAAATCTTTTTTTACGATGACGGTACGATATATCTACACACCCCCAACCCGACGGTTCCAAACTTGATTTTGCAGCCGGCCGAAGACCTACTTGCAATCTCGTCGTCGACCTCAATGCCTCTTGTAACTTTGGGCAAATTCATCCGTTGATGGGAGAGGAGTTCCTCCGGCCTTGATTCTCAGATTGTTAACTCCATCAACTGGCGCCGGCTGATACATGATCGCTATAAACTTCACGCTGATGGTCAGTCCAGAATTTGCGCAGTCAGTGGCAAAAAGAGGTCCATGCTTCTTTGTATGTCGGCTTCCGTCGTGATGCTGAGCGTGAAATCATTCGCGCACAGGAGATCGTTGACAGGGGTTTGGCAGGTTCGTGTTAATGCCTGTTTGCGTCGGCTGTTGAGTATGAAATTGGAGGAAAACGTGATCTTCTACCGAATAAGTAAAAGAATGAATATTTTTATGCATGTCTTCCATGAAATATAACTGAATTTCCAAGGGCATCGAAAATCAATGAGAACATTGCATGCTACATACGTAGTCATTTTTGCAGAGTATGGATCTTGCATGCAGCGGAAAATAAGTTCTTTCGAAAGCCGACACCCTGAGGTAACTGGATCATTATAGATTTATGCTGCATCATGATTAGTTTTACAACACTACTTAATTTATTTTTTCGAAACGAGAACGAATTTCGAAATTTCGGTTGACATTTCATTAGTTAGCACATCTACTGTACTACTTGGCCGGTGGCCGCAGACGGCCTTGATGGACATGGAGGAGTTCTTAACTTCATTGCAGTCTGTGTATACTTAGATATATTCAGCTTTACAAGGCATCCGGACTTGAGGCATTTCCACACCTCCTGTTTCAATAACCTTCGGCATCGGAAACAAACCGTCGTACTATAATGAGTTCTGTAGTTGAAGGAGTTCATGTGTAGCCTGTCCTTCTTGCAGGGCAGACTTCAATGTACTTTCGTCATTGTCATCAACCCGATGGTTCGACCATCGTTTCCGACAATGTCCACCATGTGCCCCAAAGGCAAGGTGAAGCAGGAGCGGCGACTTGCGCGGCATCTGACGCACTCACTCCTACGCGCCCACCTTGCCTGGTGTCAAAAAGACCGGAGGCGAGGGAAGGCGCAGGTGGATTGCACGGTCGAGCCCGCACCTTGACACTCCACTCCACACTCCCTGGCCCACACAGCAAATGACCAGGATTCTGACCAACAACAAGAAAATGGGGAACGGCAGGGGTCCCAATGTGCGCGACGTACGCCGGCAAGTGAGTCTGCCAACGCATTCCGAAATGTTGGCAATTGTTATGGTGCGCAGTCAAATAGCGCCTGACAGAATCCAATGCGGCCCGCTGCTGGTCCAGCACATCTCCCACGTGGTCCGTTTGGGGGGCACAAACTCGCTCACCTCACCACTTTGAAATCCTTAATCATGTATTTCATCCGCATCACCACTCGGTTGCTGGCTATGGTTTGTCCATCCGCAGACATCAAGCAGGTGTTAATACAGAAGGCATAGTCGACCAGGGGTTTCCAAAGCGATGAAGTGGGTGACGTCACACAGTTCTCTTTATTGTTTATCACGAGTGTTACTCTATTCGTGAAATTACACTTACCCCAGATTTATTTTCATGCGATTGCCAAAGCCAGATTGGTGTTCAGCTGTTTCCCATTAAATGAAATTTAACTAAGTGGTGATTGCTTACCCTGTCATCGCCTGTTGGACTGTTCACATCCTTATTTTTCAGACTAAAAGGCAGTGCTTCGTCCAGCAGTTTGCACAGCACACGACCATTTTCCACTAGCAAATCATGTTGCTCGATCCTCTATAGGGAGGGCATTGCTCATCGGCTGCCGGTGACTCGAACGAGGATACATCCACGTCGTGTTCCGCCAGCATTGAAAGAGGTGAGAAGGTGTTGGTCAGGAACAGACTGTGTTCCATACAGGCCTGCTGGCGTATGAGTCCAGTGTCGCTGAAACTGCTGAACCCACCAGCAACGGAGCTCTCCCATTCAAGTAATCTGATTTCTGTGTCTACGCTGGCAGTGAAGTTACCAAGGAAAATCAGTCTGTCAGCCTTCCAAACGGTCATCGGGAGGACGTGCACGTCTTCTTGGAACTTGTTCTTCACTTAGTCATAACTGATCATTGCGAGGCGGTGCCGGAGGGACTCAGCAGTGACGATTTCGGCTCCGTAAAGAGGCAAGAGACGATGGCTGATTGCCTGCGGACGACAGAGCGGCCATTCTCTGATGTCAGTCCTGACGGCAGAGGCGATTACACAGTCCCATAGCGCTGTCTTTGGACGTTCGTCTCAGAAGACGGTGCATCCGGCATCCCCTTCTCTCAATCGTTATCCCACCGACGGCCGAAAAGTCACTTTGACCCAATTCGTGCGCCGCCACAGGCGTCTTCCTTTCCGGACGGTTTACCGATGGACTGCCTAAGAATGGGCAGCAATTCCGGGCTTCCAGAGTGAGCAATGTCCTTCTGGCAGTCTGGTGGGAATCAAGGTGATGAGGATGTTATGACTGCGTTTTTAGTTCTCACGAGCCACAGCCAAATTGCAGACGACGTGACTTGTCAACAGAATCTTTATCCGCGAATGGGCTAGGCAGTGCTGGCCATAAACAAGGCTACGTAGTTATCCCACCGGATCGCTGTCGCTCATTCGATAGGACTATTGGGATTGGAATCGGGCTCCACTGTTTGTCCCAACACCATGATGAGCGCAGTGACAGTGGTTTACGCCTGAATAAGTTTGCGGAGGTGGTAGGCTTGCGTTGCGCCTGTTTCACTCCCTCTTCCTTCGCCTACCAGGGTCCGGCGTCAAGCTAGAGTTAAGATGACCGGAACGGGATCGGCGCACTGCATAATTAGATCGAACAGTCCGTCTGCGCGTGCCACGCACGTCTGGTCCACGCACAACGGACAACAGTTTAAACAAGAAAGGGACAGCTGCGATCCCATCTGAGTGGGAGTGTTGCAGAAGCCTCGTGTAGAAGGAACCATTGCAGCCTGACTCTTCGTCCTGAGAAGAAGAGAGAGTTACCCCTCCCAGTCAAAACTTTAGCGCACCATGGCAGTTCGAAAGCCCTTCAGCTTGTTTATAGAGAGGAAGTATACTGAGGTCAGTTCCCAGAGTCGAATTCACTTTCTCCTCCCTCTCTGAGGCACCAATCCACTGTCTCAGATGGTCAACTGTCTGATGTGTGGATTAGACGCGGCGAGTGACAGCGCTAAACAGCTCCTCTACACGTGCTACACACATGACCCGCTTTTCCGCACAACATTCGAGGATTTCGAGCGAACGAACGGGCGGCGCCGACTTCATATGAACGAGAGCGCCTGGGTGGCCACAGTATGAAGGAGCCAATGAGGCTGACTATCGGCCCACAGTCGGTCGCTCCATACACGCACACAGAGCTAACCGTGAGGCCTGAGTTGTATCATCAAATGTTAACCTCCCGACTCGTGATGATTAGTGTATGGTGATAGTTTCAAACGCGTCAAGTTTTTTATAGTTTGGAATGCGTCGAAGTGCCGTAGAGATGAATTCATTAAAGTCGACCTCACTCTCCCCTCCCCTCTTCAGAGAGGCGATGAATTTTCCAGGTCGTTCAACCATCCGATGCTGCGATTGGGTATAGTGGCTGGGAGAGCTGAGACAGTACTTATACGCATTCCCCACACACACACGACCAGGCCTTTTTCGGAGAGTACTAGGGTGTGCATGCCGACACATCGGAAATCTTCGTCCGGGGTTTGGCCGTTGGGCACAGGAAAGCTTCGTGTAGGCACACATGAGAGTTAGGGACTGGTTAAAGACCGCGCAGAGCAATCATCAAATGAATCAAACTCGTGGATCGTTCTGCCATTTCCACGCGGTATATCCACTCAGTGAGCGCGGTGTGAACACCGCGTAAGTGGTACGACTACTGAAACATTTACTAAACTGAAACGGTTGGATTAGTCAAAAAACGATGGACATTCCCGTTAGGGGTTGGGTTGGTTAACGCGGAGAAGAGGTGACTGTAACCTAAAAAGTAAACAGTTAGTTTTTAACTGACTCCAGTACTCATAGTGAATAACCTAATTCGTTCACACAAATAATCCTCGGAGTAAGTAACTCCCGCCATAAACCATACCACTGCCTTCACTCCATAATTTTTTGCCTTTTTTCCTATCACAACCGTCTTTTGCTACCTTATTGGTGGAGATCACGGAAAGTGTGTGTGGAACACCAGTTCAGCCAATATTTTACCGCCAAACTGCCTGTCCAGTTATTTAACTGCTGCACAATTGTTCAGAACTCCGTTGGCACTGGGGCGCGCAGAGGTCGACGTCCAAGTTTATGGGTTTGCAGCTGGCTTTGAAGTAGCTTAAGGCCCAGGACGGGGAGGGGGGAGAATGAGGGACTGTGACTGCCCTAACGGCAGAAACTGGTGAGATGACGGAGGCCCCATTATGGGAACAGGAGCGGGAAGACGTCCAATCAAAACACAAACTGTCGCGCATATGAACATCAACCATTGAGACCTTGAATCCTCGCCGTTCATGCTCATAGTCCACGTTTATCTGCCACAAATCGCAAATCGCGCCTAAATACAGACCCCTGTTAACAAAACCAAAGTCATGTTGGGAGTACTTTCAAGTGGAATTGCAAAAAAGATGGGTACTCCATGAAATTCCATTATCACATAACTAATTCTACGGCGCATCCACTACAATATCCTTAGGCCGTTATCTTACAGACTGCATGCGCGGACGCAGGAGTCTCACCTGTCCCAGTTTAAACAGAAGTGCGGTTAATCTTTGTATAAACCATTCACAGGGGAAGGAAAGTACAACCAACCTATATTGTTGTTTGCAGCTTCAGCTTATCCGAACGCCTTCTCATGTCTACATGCCCATGTATGTCTTACTAGACTTTGACAATCCTATAGCGACAAGCAAAGAGCTCCCTTGTATAAAACGGTGTTGGCAAGATCTCATTTCGTAGCCGTATCTGTTAGGGGTTCGGGTTAGGGGTTGGGGCTAGGGGCTAGGGCAAGGAGTAAGAGGTTAGGGACCAGGCTGGTGCTTGTCTACTGCAGGTACGGCCACGACCAACGTGCTTACCTCTAATAGACCTGAATGCCGGCGCTTTGAATAGGTGAACGGAAGACGTCTGCATGCATCGCCACTGTCCTCTTGACTTTAGTCAGTCAAATCCACAAACCCATCAGAACAAATTACTAAGAAAATTGTCATAGTGTCAGGCTAACTCCCTGAAACTGACCAAACAGACATGCTTTTTCGGTTTTCTCAGATTTCGATGTCAGCGAGCATGCATGTTTTGTCAAAACAACAAGTAAGCTAGCATTTACGTCAAGTCGACACTGATGCACGTGTTTGCCAAAGAAAGTACTGGCCTCCGAAATGATTTCAGCTGTCTATTCAGTCATTCCCGAGGAGCTTTCGCAGCTATGATACTGATGAAACAGGAAATGTTAATGTGGATTTGTTTGGAGCAAAATTGCTGAAAACAGACCGTTCAAGAGGTTTATAGTTTCTTTAGTCTAGGCATTAGCAGTCGCCACGAGGGAAACAGCAATCTTGACGTAGTGGGAGGAAGTCAAGTTACGTAGGCGGTAATGTGAGAAGAGGGAATTTTGACGTTTGCACTAGTTTATTCGAAAGAACACCACTGTTCTCATTTCGACAAGGACTTCGAGCTTTCGCCACCCAAGCGTAACAGAATAAGTAGGAGTTACAGTGGACAAAGTGGGGGAATCAGTAAGCCCACTTCATTTTCTAGTTTTAAATATTGCCGAGCCTTCGGATCACACAACAAGCCCCTTCAAAATAAGGAGTTCTTGCTGACTTTGCAAATCTAGTAATACTGTTATTTTTTCAATTTGAAGTTGTTAACTCTTGTGAGCATAATCATTTTGGTAAACGAAAGTCAAACAGATTTAGTAAAAAATTCATTTTTGAAAAAACACGTCGCAGCAACAGGCCCTTTAATTCTCGCCTTCACAACCAACCAAACTACAGAGTGTTAAACAAGGCTGACCATCATACGACGGTATAAAGGACTCAGAGTTCGTGGTGCAGATTTTACAACGACGCATTTGCACACCATTAAGTACCTTATGTTGTACAGACAGCCTGTACTTGAATGCGCAGACAAGCGACCACACGTCTGAATTTGATTGGTTGGCGTGTGCCGTTTGCGCTTTTCCCGGATCCAGCATAATTTCCGTGAAGAAAACTCATAGTACTATTTGCCCATTAATCGCGAATAGGCGCAGTTGGACTTTTTCAGGCAAAATTAAACGATAAAATATACAGGCAAACTGCGTAAATCCGAAACAGCAGACGATCATCACGGGAGCGCTTGTATAAGACGAATCATCGACAACTGAACGCAGTGAACAGAAACCATCCTAACATGGGTCGCAAGTTTAATATACGAAGTAAAATTTACGGGAATAGGTATATTAAACATCAAGAGCAGAACAAAATAGCATTCTAGTGCGTTTCCACACAACGTTCATTTAGTGGGTCTGCTGCAATCTCACTTTTCACCCCTGGTGTGGTTATGCAAGGGTGATTAACCGTGCATTCAGGTCTTTCTGCTATTTTGCATTTAATACATATTTTTTTTACTTTCTTTCATGATGTGAAGTTTACGTCTGGATTTTTAACCTTCACAACCTTCCAAATTTTTAGCATGTTCTTCCCAATATTTAAAGCGAGCTCTTGTGCCGCATAGAATGCGGTGTATGTTGGTTATAAAAAACGCTGTTTGCTCGAAGTAGGCAGAAGTATTTTCTGGAATAAAGTTAAAGCCTTTTTGGGTCTAATTCTTGCAAAAGTTTGTATAAATAATCGTACAAGTGGGATGGCCACATTTTCCGGTAGATAAAGCAGAAAACGTGATTGCTTAAAGCATGGCATACATATGTAGACTCCTTTTTCATCAACGTAAGGATGGCTACAGCTTTGTGGAGGCCAGGACATGCATTTGTTTATCTAAAAACTTCGTAACCTTACATCGGAGTATCAAAATCACGACGCGCCTTTGAGTCATTAGCGCTTAAGTCACCGTCCCGAATATCGCATTCAACCGGCACGAGATTGGGTCATACTGCACAAAAGCTGGTAAATATATTTTATTTTAAAGCGGCAATATCACTGGTGTCGTGAATTTCCATTTTTGTCGCATGCTTTAAGTCGCAAAGGAAAACACCAAAAACATTGTATATTTCTGAAAACTTCACAATTTAGTACAATTCTGATGTGGCTTCCGTTGGGTTTATTGCTGTTTAAGTAACACCGCATTACACGATATTTGTCTATCGGATGACGCAAATTGTAAAATATGCGTATATTTAAGAAACATCGCAATAATTCCGAAACCAGCCCAAATTCACCGATAAAAATAGCCACTTATTAAAGAAGCACCTTCATCTGACTGAAAACACAAAAAATGTATAACAGGTGATGTCGTATTTTTCGTAAGGAGAGTGGAAGCACCGAAAACGCGAAAATGTTGCTCTGATGAGTTTGCATAAGTCCGTGACACCTGCCTATGTAGACGACTAAGCAGCTGAAACAGAATAGACACAGCACTTTTTATAAACCCTTTAGAAACTTCCCGGCGTAAGTATACTCTACGAATTTGTTTAATATGCAGCATGACAGCCAGGTTGCTAAGTAATGCTTGAGCCTACCATTTAAAGCGATGTACCGGAAATTTGTTGCAAAATGCCCGTTTTAACATTGATTTAGATGTGGTTGACTAAAGCGGAGAGGAAGTCGCAGATGGGTACGTCAAATGTCGCATATCGAGTGGTCGGTTAGTGACCACGAAATTACAATTGGATTGGTGGGGTTAATAATAAGCATAGCACTTTCTGTGTATCAGAACAACATTTCTTCCGTACAGTCCTGTCTGCCTTCTGTCTGCAGTAGGTCCATACGCTTCCCAGTGTCTTTGAAATATTAACGAATACTTTGTGACATTGAGAATTTTAGAGTTCTCAACCGCCATTCAACAATATAAGTTTTTTGGCTCATGGCTATTCAAATGTGGCGAGATCTCGGACGATACTTCCGCAGGACTATAACGGGTTGGCCCATATGTGTAAGCTAGCCGAACATGAAAACCAAACGTCGATGTGAATGTAGGTCCAACACGAAACCCGGCAAGGAACCTACTCTTGTTTAAATAACGTGCCGTTAAAACGCCATCTCTTAGGAGTGTGTTCTATTAATATGTTTCGTAGAGAAATACCCATGTCCTCCTCTTTCCAGAGCAATGTCGAAAGAATTGAAATCTTTGTCTAAAAATGTACCTACCTAACAGGCTAGAATAATTTTTCTGGCAAAAACGAAAAATTTCTTTCTATTCTGGGGAAATCTTCTTGCCGTTACTAATGTATGGCCCATTTAAACGCTCCAGAACGCTTACCATGGTATCCTTCCGTTTAAAACTTACAAATGTATGAAAATAAAATGTTAGAGAAGCATCTTGCCATGCGTACGAAAGTCCGAATGGTTAGTTAGTGATGAGTGTTTTTATAGTTACTTAGGGAAACTTGGAATGTGCCTGGAAATTTCTGGCACGCGATTCTAGAGAAGACACCTACACTATGCGACCTAACTCATGCAGTGCAATGATGTGAGTCTCGATGACGATGTTAATGCACCTAAAATATTGTTCCCTTTTGACTTATTCACCTAACTTCATCCGTAAAATATTCTTTTTGCATGAAGGATATGTTTGTAAATAAATGCATCTGAAAAAGATTATCTAATTTTAGCGGATGTCAGGGTTAACTTTTATTCGAGCTGTTTTCTCTGGTAATAGTTGTTCCAGACTGCGTTTGCTCATCGCTGGGTATTTACTCTTAAATAGAGTAGTCTTACAGTGAGAGTTTTGCTAAATAAAACTTGTCGCACTTGAAATTTGTGTAGGACTCCTGTTGGTTGCCCTCCCAGTACTGAAATCGGCTGGCTCCCTATCTTACGGGACCGGTAATAATGGGGGATATACGAGTGGGGCATTGTATGCATGCGTCAATGACGTTTATAGTGTATGCCCCGAATTGATGCCCCTGCTAAAGCCGTAACCAAAATTAAATATGGCGAAAAATGAAAGAAAGATATAAAAACATACGTGGATACCAAGTATGGTCTGCGGAATGAATGCATCCTAGCTCCAGATTGGGTTCGATGTTCCTGATTTTCCGCAAATAATAATTTATTGCCACTAAGGTCACATGTATGCTAGAAACTGAAGCAGTAGTTGTGTCTAGACGCGAATGTTGTAGTAAGCAATGTGTAGAGCAATTAACCGGGAAAGCTACCTACAGGGATCCTCCGAAATTTGTTCTATTGGAACAAATCAAGTTAAGTGGGATGTGAATAAACATTCCACTTTCAGAAAATGAGGTGTTTTGTCGATTTTAAGAAGTCAGATTAGTATATCTTTAAGACTTCTTTAGCGACAGTAAGTAGACCCACCACAGAAGATTATGGTAACTTCTGGGCTTAGGGAATGATACCTTTTATATGGTATAATTTTCGTTAATAAGTGATTTTAAAGCGGAAACGGCAGAGCATTAGGAGTCTTAGGAATATCTGACTACTTGTATGGCCACTTTGTTAATTTTGTTAGGCATTTACTACCGTATGATGGAGCTTAACACTAAGCGGTGATGGCGAAAACAGTTCCAATAAACGGCGAAATTTGAGTTCTTACGTTTGCAGATAAAACTATCAATTTTTTGAGGCTTTTGGAGAGGAAGCCAAATGCTTCGATTTGCTCCTTGATTTGACCTCGACAAACGGCAAGTTTACGCAGACATCCGTCAAAAAGACCATACCACATCGATTTCTAAAAGAATAAATTTACAAGACAGTTCTCCTATTGACCCAAGGCATACTCATCACCGACTTTCGTGGCTGAAGCTTACTGTTCTCGGCAATGAGATTTCATGTTTAGATAAGTCAGCCAAATAGAATTCAAAGGGCCATTTCAGAAACTAACTACTTTGTTGATTGCTTTCAATAAATATCTAATTTTAAAGGGTTTGATAAACACATAGGATAGGACTTATCTTAACAAGCAGTCGATTTGTAGCATTAAAAACGGCAAAGCAGTCACCAGAATTTCAATCATACTCTGAAAATCAACGGTATTCTGATTCGCATAAAGTGCAGACATTTTACGAATGAAACGCCGTCTTAATAAGCACAAGTAGAGTTCTTATGATTGGATGTGTTCCAATTTATTAATCGGCGATTGGCCAATCAACATGTGGCCTTGTAAGAACTGTGTTTTCTTAGTCATCTCTATCGGCACAATCCTCAGCCGCATCTAAAATACGGCAGAACCTACAGTCAATTCTTGTGAACCCGTTTTGTAATCTATACTTAAACTGTAAGTTCTTGACTAACCGCTAAACTTGACATTTCACTAATTATTGAGGGATATTGAAGTGCAAATTTGCTAAAGAATTATTCTTAGACAATGTTCTACGTGCGCTGTTGGATTAACACAGTTATTTGCATGGAATGACGTTATGGGCCCTTGAAACTTAAACTTACTCACTTAACGCTGTTGTCACCATAACAACTTTCCTAAAAAATTTCATTTCTGAAAAACACACTGTTACGTTTAAAAGTTTTTTACGTTTCTTACTTTCTTTAAAGCTGCGCATTATCACGTGCGTATTTAGGTCTACATATGCATGCCAGTTTTTCAATGCCAAGAGGGGTGATGTTCAACATTCAGATTACGAGACGCGCTCGTCCCGTTAACAAGCCGATTAAAACCAGCGAGACAACGGGTTCGTGTCTCAATAGGTGGGGATTTGAATCTTCTAACGTTCAGTACCCAGGGATTGGGCAAGGTTGGTTAAAGACGGCTAATGAAACAAAAAATGGTCATTCCACTCTTGCCTTTGCCTGAGGGGCGCGTTCCATAAGCTGATCAGTGAACGTCCCCTTTACTATATGCATATGCATCTAGCGTTGCTTCATGTTTCATTTGCGTCACCGCCAAGGTGTACAGCCACAAAGAATGCTGAAAAGGCATTTTTTTGGAAATCAAAAGCCGTCAAAATTGTAAGAACATTATGCGCCCTATGGGAAACAGCATTCATATTCGGACGGTGTTATATATGGGAAGGAATGTTTTTAATATGACAGGCTGGCATTTAAGGTTGGCACTTGCGAGATTATTATTTTCGGCTCAGTGCTTGACTTCTATAGTTTGCAAAACTTATTTACAAAGCCACTGGGTAAAGGTCAGGTACTCACCATATCAATGCTGCATTTTAAATAAATAAAATTTTTTATTAAAAACCCGTCGGGGTCCCATCAAAGCATTTTTTACTAATTCGCGAGATTAGATCTTATAACGCATAGTTCAGGTACCCTGGTTAGGGCGTTTAGTCTGAGATATTCCTCCATGATTTTTGGAATAAATAACCACAGGATGCTCCCGCTCAATGGCTAAATGTCCTACTTAATAAATCATGTAAATTAAACGGAGTTGTGATTTGCTGTGACAGTGTTTGTGTGGCGGCTAGCCATCCTGACTGGTCTGGCGTCATTATTCAAGACCTCACTGCCTCAAGGTCATTCATCCCTTGCAGCGAGCCGTCCCAAACGAGCTGACCTGAAGTCACACGACCCACAGCTCGGGCATACCTGCGTCCGCGCAGTCGCAGCTGCCCATGCGGCCACTTGAACGCGCCACCCCCTGCAACCAGCAAAACAAGCCACTGGTACACCCCCCCCCTCGTCGGCCAATGCAATACACGCTGACTGGACACCACTTGAGCTTGGCCCACGAGCCTACAAAAGCGGCTGCCACCACTATCTTAGGCACTCTCAGGCCTGACTGGACGCAGTCAACACTAGTCTTGGCTTCGCCAGTGGCCACTGTCGCCTGAGAGGACAACTCCGGGTTCTGTGCACAATAAACCCCTCATTCTGGCGCCTTTTGTCTTCTTCCTTCAAACACGAGATTTGACCAGGTGGTTGTAGCTCACAGACTGTACACACACCGCCTGGTCACGACATTTGAGTTATTATCATTAGAAAGTCATTTGCCAATCATAATCTTTGTTTATTTTGGAAAAATTACAATTCAAAAGTTTGATGCCATCTCTGACAGAACCGCCCTCGGAGTAACTATCCACAAGGGCATAGTGCGTTAGTGCACATTAAGTATCTGTACATCGGAAAACTTGTTATTATTTTTGTAGAACCGAGACAAACATATTAACTTTTTGCGCCTATTTTATTAGAACTTATGCCTTCTACGCAAACTCTGTTACCAGAAATAAGGCACTTACAAAACTAGTAGACATTTGTAAAATCTACACATATGTAAGGCCCAGAACAAAAGTTTTACGGCAATACTTAAAATTATTAATTCCTTCACTGGCCTTGAACATCCCATACTGGCAACTTGTGGTCGCAATATTCTCTTAACACAGTTTATAAAACAAAAAGGTTTCTCAAGGTTTTTTTTTATTAATGAACCCACTTTCTCCCTTATTTCTCACCGGGTAGATATAACCTTAGAAGTGAGCCTTTAACTTGTTTTCGGCCAGTATCATAAAACAAAATTACAAGAGTTGTTGCTTGCCAAACGTTTACTAAAGGACATAAAATTCCATAAGACGACTTATTGTCAAGTGACCTTTTGTTGACTGCCATATTCGGTAATTTGGACGTCGTAAAAATGTGAGGATGACAGTTGTTTTCCAGCGCAAATGTGCATGAATTTTTATGTTACCTTTCGGAAGAATATACTGGCTAGTGGGCAAACTCTAAATTCACTACACAGAAGTGTGCTTATAAAGAGAAAACAGGATCTCCAAAGGGCTGAAAAATGTTGCAGAATAGACATGATTTATGAAGGACATTCTCCGAGGACAACTTTTGGAAAACGAGGCCACACTTAACCACAAGAATAGAGTAAAACAAGTCTATTAGTCCGCTTTTAAACAATTTAGAACGTTTGTTTTGTGTTGTTTGAACTCCTATTTGCATTTTCACCTACAGTAGATGTGCTAACTCATAAAATATCAATTAAAATTTCCAAATGCGTTCTCGTTTCGGAAAGATAAATTAAGTAGTGTTGTAAAACTAATCATGATGCAGCATAAATCTATAATGATCCAGTTACCTCAGAGTGGCGGCTTTCTAAAGAACGTATTTTCGGCTGCATGCAAGATCTATACTCTGCAAAATGATTGCTTATGTAGCATGCATTTTTCTTGTTGATTTTTGATGCCCTTGAAAATTCAATTATAGTTCATGGAAAACATGCATAAAAATATTCATTCTTTTATTAATTCGGTAGAAAATCACGTCTTCTTCCGATTTCATACTCAAAAGAAGAGCATAATTCAGTTTAAAAAGCTTTTCCAATTACTGAATAATTTTAAACCCGACCTGCTGTTACACTTGCATTAAGGGATTTGAAAACTACAAGCTATATATTTTGCGCTTACTAAAAATCATGCATTTCGCTACGGTGTTAATCGGAGACCATATAAGGTTCATAAAATTAAGCAGTGGATTTGAGCAATATTGTTAACTTTACAAGCCGCATTCGTGAATGCAGATACATGACGTTTCATAAACGGCCATTTAACGGTATTAAAAAATCTTACAAAAAGAAACTTTTTTAAAACCGAATTATACTCTTACGTGCAGTCAACGTACAAGCCACCTGAGTTAGGAAACCTCAGTCATAGGCCATAGGTCAAGTTACCCACCCAACACACAGCATCGTATGAAATCCTCCATCTCTGATACAGTGGGCAGACTGCCTGAGTTGGGTTTCTTAAGAAATTAATCAGGTGACCGCCAGGCTTACTTACTCAATAGGTATCTGCGAATATAGCAGACTCTCATAGAAAGAGCCAATTATGAAAACTGACGGACGCATGTCCTGGAAGGCTCTCTGCGCTATACATCGAGTAATGTTTCCAAGTAGGTGTTCACTTGCCGAATGTCCACTTGGCAGGACATAAAGATAAGACCATATCCTTGGCCTTGTGCTCAATTTCGGAAGAGTGCCTAACCACGTGTTTCAAATATGGCTCCTTTTTCTGCTTTTTTATTTAGGTCAAATCGCTATTAATTTGACAAAGAATTTTTAGAGTGAATTTGAAAGTCTGTTACTACTGCAACAATATTATGTTAAGTCAAACCTTACAGTGTAACGGATATAACAATGGATTTTCGAATTGTTCTGATGACGTCCCAAGAGCTATTAGAAGGTTAGAGCCAGCACGGGGGTGAATTTAGCGTACTTATAAATAGTATATCCCACAAAGGAGAAAGCTCCTCAGAAAAATGAGTTTTACTCATAAACTTTCAAGCTGAGTACATCAGCCCATCGTAAGACGAAATAAATAATGAGAGCTGAGATTGACACGCTGATGTTTGAAGGTGAAGACGGAGAAATAGGCAGGCAGCCTTGCAAGGCGGTGCTGTGATGGCTGCCGGAGATGAAGAGATGCATTGTGGGTTTCAGTTGAGGCCTACTACGTTGGGGTCTGGTGGGAAAGAAGGAATGGCGGCATTAGCAGTTATTGTTTCTAAGGTGGTTCATCGTGATCGGAGATTCTCGTTGTAGGCATATAGGTCAACATGGCAGATGATGCTGTCCGCATTAGAGTACCAAACTTCAAGGAATTCCCGTGCCTGTTAGGTGTTAACTATGGCAACCACATCACCACCATCCCAAATCAAACCGTGTTCACAATCAATTTCGTGCACAAAGACAACAGATAAAGGGTCACTTCGGCGGATAGGCAGCCTGTGTTCATTAATGCTAGTCCCGGGTTGTCGACCCGTGTGACCAATGTGAACGCAATGACAGTTAGGGCGCGGGATACAGTAAATGACGTCAGTTTGGGTTCTTTACTCGGAATAATGATGCTTGTAAGGAGGAAGCAGGTGCCAGACCGGTTTAAGTGTCGGGCGATCGCTTCGGGATCTTGTGGTTGCCTCTGACGTCTGAGAAAATTTTTCACGAAACTAATCGGATATCCGTTAGATCAGAATGTCTGGTATAAGTAGGCTAGCTCTCTCTTGAGTAGATACTTGCTGCTACTGTACCGAGAGGTGCGGTGAAAATACTTCGGAGGCAACAAAGGTCCCTGATTGGAAAAGTCTGCTCAGAAGGCGTTGTAATGTCGATAATTACGCAGCATAATCAGTCACTCCAGGAGGAGACTTTCGAATAAGATTCCTATCCACCGTTTGCAAAACCACAGTCGGTATAAATGGACCGCCTCAGCAGTATGATGTTTTCATTGTTTTTAATATCCTTGTATATCAAATCCTAGATTATGGATAGAGATTGTAAAAATATTCTTTTTTAACCAGTTGGAACTAAATAGCGTTTTCTTCAATTTATATTACTTGAAGAAAAGGTATTTCAACTGTTGAAACTTTTTCAATTCCCGAATAACTCTAAACCGATCTGTTGGTGCATTTGCGTTTAGGGTTTACAGTCTACATGGTGCATAACCATCATGTAAAGGGAACCATACATTAAAAGACGTTGCGATGAACATGGATCATATTATATATTTTATAAGCAACATTTACAAGCAGACAAATAGAATACTGTTTGAATGGACATTTCACGGTCAATAGTACAAACTATTTTGAAGACGAGTTTTGCCATTCCTTTGAATAAAACACCTAAAGAAAGCATAACGTAAGTGAGTGCAAGGGAGGATTATTTTGTTCACGTTTGTTTTATAAAATATATTCGAATTTATAAGAACACTGAAAATCAATGAGAAAAAACACTACATGAGCGGCCATCTTTTCTGGGTACGTCTTTGCAGGCATTAAAAGGAGACGAATTCAGAAGTCGGTATTTTGGCTTGACCGGAATATCTCGGATTATCCTGCTGCTGCCCTACCTTCGTTATCAAAGATGCATTTCAAAATTGGGACTAACACTTCACGGGAAACGTTTTACGCACGCACCAACACAATTTTTTGGATGTAAAGCTCCGATAAAACGGTTTAAAATCGAGACAATTTGACTGTCAATATGTCCCACACATAATATATTTTCTACTTGCACACGTGCTTGCACCCATTCAAAGCAAATTGGCGTTTATCGAGGACGAGAAAGCCATAACAGGCTGCATCTAAGTATTAACTGTTTCCCAGCTTCCAAATACACACAGACGGCTGCACTGTGTCAAGTCCAATGGTAACAGAGACAAATACGCAAAAAATTCTAGGAAGATGATCAAGTTCTTCGGGATGAGTCACAGTATTCCGCAAGGTTGGAGCTGTAGATGCCGGAAAGCTATCAGCGTTGGCCTAGTTTAAGGAAAACATCTTTGAAATTTGGAAAGGCCCTTATCGTAAATTTTAAAAAGTTGTCCACGGGCGTATGCACACGGCCCTGCTCCTGAGAGATGCCGCAACTGGTGATATATAGCCGTGACCAGCTGTCCCAGTTTGTTGCTCACACGCTGATGGATTGGACTTCACGGATAATAGCAAGGGCCGATAACAAAATACGTCAAATGCTGCTTTCAAAACTTGAGAAATATTTTTTAAACCGCCACATTATTCCATACCCATTTCTAAGTGACTTGCCTTGACTGGTTGCAGCCCTTGTTGTTGAAGGCCGTGATGCACTTATTTTTTGGGTTCTTCCAATATATTTTTTGACAACGAGTTCCCGCTGGC